TTTACTTTCTTAAAGTGTAAATACAACCTGTATTATTTTAAAAACATTACTACTTGACATCTGTTTTACTGTTAATTAATTAATTAATCAAAATAAAACGTACGCTTCAAATAACATAAAAAAAATTTTTTTTGAAATGTTACATTTTTTTCTCCCTAATCGGAATTTATTTTGTTAACTTCCATAATTCTCAATTTCCAGATTGTTGGTTACTCTTTTGGCAACACACCACACTTTGTTTTAGCGTGCTGTTTGTTGCTGCTAATAGTAATAAGTCGGTTGTAATTGTTTGGTGATTTTTTATTGAAAATTTGTGTTTTGTTGTAATTCAAAATGCCCCGGAGAAAGCGACACCCATTCCCTTACCGAAAAGGAGTTGACAACAGAGGTCGGTCTGTCCCTAGAAAACGGCAGAAGACCGCCAACAACGATGAATCGCAAAAGTCTTTTTCAACGACTTCGATTCACAGCATTGTTGAAGGTGAAAGACAGGTGGGTAATGTAGCAATTTTTTTAATCTTCTTTAGCGATGTTGGTGATAAATGAAAATTGCTCTTTCTTTATTCAATGTCTTCAAGAAAGCTGTTGCTCTTTCTTCATTCAAATTATGACAGAAAACCGTGGTGAACGAGAAAAACTATTTGATCGCACTGTATAACATAATTGAAAAGCCCAAAGCGTCTTTCTTGCTTAAAATGGCACGCAGAAGAAGAAAATTTCTTTCTTGGTTCCTATTTCTTGGTTAAAACCGAATTACCAACATTCAGTTTGGCGCCAAATTTGAAATTCTTCTTTAAGTCTAAAATAGCTTTAAAACTTCAGAAATTATTGACCTTATTAAAGTTTAACATAAATAATTTTTCAAAATATTTTCTACCACTCATTTACGTAGGGCGGTTTGCTTTTGGGACATTTGTATATTGTTAATCAGTTGAAATATGAAAAACAAAAAGTAATTTTTTTCTTTAAATGTTAGTTCTTGAAAATAACTGTTTAAATTTGAACAAACGAACAATATTATTTTATATTTAAATAAAAAAATATTATTTATTATACATAAAACATAAATTATTCAAATTTTTTAAAATATTTTTTACTTTAACAATTATTGTAGTCCATATTTAATACTATTTGAACAATTTTTTTATTGTAATTTTTACGTAGCAAATTCAACTTCTATAAATTATAATGGATGCTTTACATTATTCTGTTACGAAATACTTATTTTCAATTGGGTAATAAATATCGAATTCAGTTTTAAAGTTTATTTTCACCAAAATTTCAACATGACATTTCAAACATATAACAATGTGACGACTTGCGATTTATTTGATAACTGTTTACTACTCTATATTTAGTTTTTATCAAACTTTTTTTTACAAAAGTTGGCATTTTAACAAAAAAAAAACGCATAACTCAAAAACAAAACAAATTTCATTCTCAAAATACGATCTCATTTTTTTTTGTTACTTTTACTTACTTTTTTTATTAATTATGTATTATTTTTTTAGAGGCAAATGATAATTTAAAAAACCGGTTGGTTCTATGCTTTATATTTACCTTGAATTTTTTTAAGAACTATAATTTAATTAGAACATTACCGACGGTAACCTAAAGACGATAATTTTTGTTTTTTTTTCTGTGCATTCAATTTTTATTTTTTATTTCAGTAGGAACCTCTTGGAGAAGTCTGTTTTGACGTGCCCCTTATGGACATTGACATCGAGGAAGCAGCAGAAACAGACACAGCCCTACACGTCTTCGATGATACGTCCTCCCAAAACGCAGTTGAGGAAATCAGAGGACATCTGAACTTACAACCCCATGTGATTGTAAAGTTCAATCCCCAAAATTTGATTTCATTCTCGGACGACGAAGACGACTCGCGAGAATGCTACATATACCGATTGCAGTGTTCACAGCGACAAAATCAAATGGAAACCGAAAACGAGCATGACGGCAATGTTGATGGAACGTCAGCTTCAAACATTGTGGATGCGCTAATCCAAAAATTAGAAAGCACATCAATCAGTAGCGAAACTACTAATGATGTTTTTGTTTTAGGATCTGATTCAGCAAGAATTTATACCGCCCCGGAACAGGGATGTCGGTGTAACCAAGCTGGAAAATCAACAGATCGCTGTCCACTTCATGAGATGGAAATTGACGAAGACGACCAAATTGTTTGAGATCAAATCGATGGCATTGCGATTTTATCTGATAATGTTTGGAATGAGTTGCAAAAATCATTGATTTCCGACAAAAATGATGGTCCTGGAGATGAGGATTTTGTTGAGAACGAACGAACGTCGTTTTCAATCCGAATTTCGATAACGAACTAGATCGAGAGGCAGACCAAATGGACCAACTTGAAATGGAAGTCGAGGTTGAGCGCATTCGTAACAGAGATGCTCCAAATTCGATTCATTCGATCCGCCCAATGAATCAGGTTTGTCAACATTGCAGGGCCAATTCTTTTCACGAGGAAAAAACCACTCTAGGAGAATATAACAAATGTTGCAGTGGTGGTAAAGTTCAACTGCCACAATTAGGTGAACATCCAGAAGAACTCAGACAGTTGTTCACTGGAGAACAACAATTGTCTCGCGAATTTGTAAGCAAAATTCTCACTCACAACAATTGCTTCCAGTTTGTTTGTAAGTATTGAAGCAAATTTGCGTGATATCCCTGGATTTGGACCTTACGTGTATATCATTTTGCTAAGACCTACTAAAAATTTTATTACTTTTAAGTTAAATGCGGTATTGTTAAGAGTAAACCAGAGGGTAAACAAATCATAAATTAGTGTAGTGGAACCCACCCGGACCCTGAAACAGGTCAGTTTTTAACAGGGCCGGATTACTTACTTTCTTTTTGTCTAAAATACTTGAAATATTTTAATAGTTTTTGATGTAGTCAAGAATTTTAAGAAATTTAAAAAAGCCAGGTGGTTATTAACAAGTTATTATTAAATAAAGCAGATTTTTTTTAATAATAGCTTGGTAAAACTCTACCACTACTTTGGTTTTAAATACGGCCCTGTTTTATTCTGGTGGGTGCAGCAACACTTGCAAAGGAACGTACCATTTATGGAGGGTTACAAATTCAAGCCATCGTTTGGTTAATCTCTTATAATGTGTCATAAAATTTTTAGTAGGTATCATCAGTGTATGTCGAGTTGATCGCTCAGTGTCGAAATCCCAACGATCGCGAGCATGACATGCCCGAAGTTGATGAAATTGCCATTGTCGCCAATTCCGACGAAAATAATCCACCAAATCCAAGAATGAGCGTTTTTTTGACGAATCACGATAACGGATTGAGACATTTTGATTCAACAAGCGAATATTGCGATCCGTTGTCATTTCCTTTGCTCTTTCCAAGAGGTGATTTGGGATGGCATCGTGACATTCCACTGATAAACATTCGAAATGCCGAGCGAAGACCGACACGAAGAGGAAGAGTGTCGATTTGTCAGTTTTAAGCATACCGTCTTTGCTACCGTAGTAACGAAAATTTTCAAATTTTTGAGCATGGAGGCAAATTGATGCAACAATTCATTGTCAATGCGTATTTGAAAATCGAAGCAGAGAGAATCAGCTATTTTATTCATAATCAGGATCGTCTCAGAGCCGATGAATATCATGGTTTGGTTGATTATCTGCACAATCGAGCGGAAGAACAAAACATTCCTTTCGGTAAAATGGTGATTCTTCCGTCGACCTTCCAAATGAGTCCGAGAAGTCAGATGCAAAGATACCAAGATGCAATGGCTGTTGTTTCACAAATAGGCGGCCCATCGCTGTTCATCACGATGACGTGCAATCCAAAATGGCCAGAAATTGTCAAAAATTTGCCGGCCGGTGAAGAAGCCAACAATCATCCACTTCTAATAAATCGCATTTTCAAAATCAAATTAGAGGAACTCATGCTTGATTTGACAAAACGTCACGTAATGGGTGTTTGCATTGCACATCTTTACGTAATCGAGTTCCAGAAACGCGGCCTTCCACATCACTTTGCGCAGAGAGGACAAACTCTGTGATCCATTTCGAATCGATCAATTGATCAGGGCCGAACTGCCAGATCCAGAAACCGAGAGGGAACTGTATGATCTGGTAGGAAGACATATAATTCATGGACCTTGCGGAGAACACAATCCGACCTCCGTCTGTACGGTGGACCAAAAATGCACCAAAAAATTCCCGAAGTACGTTATCGTTAATAACATTTCAAAACTTAACATTTGTCTTTTTTAGATATTGGTACAACAATACCATTATTCGCAATGGAAGGGTTCAATACAGACGTCTACGTCTCAATGGTGGCACAATTGAAATAAGGCGTGCCAATCGACAGCATGTTCTTGATAGTCGATTTGTTGTTCCTTACAATCCGTATCTTCTCCTCAAGTACCGAACACATATCAATGTGGAAGCGTGCACTTCGACGAATACGGTCAAGTATTTGTACAAATACTTTTTCAAGAGACCCGATCAAGCTCTGTTGCGTGTCGTCGAAACTCGAAATGTACCCAATCAACCAGCAGAGTTGCAATACGACGAGATTCGATCGTATTTGAACGGTCGGTACATGACACCTCCTGAAGCTGGCTGGCACATTTTAACAATGCCAATGCACCTGAACTCTCATCACGTGACCAGGTTGCCAATTCATCTTCCTGATCGTCAAAGAGTTGTGTTCAGAGAAGGCGAAGAACAAGCAATTGTTGACAGAAACAGCAACACGCAATTGATGGCATGGTTCGAACTGAACCGAATAAATCCCAACGCTAGACAATTTTTGTACCCCGAAATTCCATTGCATTTCGTATGGAACAAGAACAATGAAAAGCGTTGGACTCCAGGCGAACGCTAGATTGGTAAAACGATATCACGAATGTGCAGGGTGCTGCATTTTGGATGTCCGAATAGGGAACCTCCGAAACTAAGAGGTTTAGCCAAAAACGAGTAATACATTCTAGGGCCCATTTTTTGAAAAAATAATATTGGTTAATACCGCATCCCGCTATCGTCTTTTGTTTTCGACTTATAGACAAAAATTGACATTTTAGCGAAATCTAAAAAAATTCATATATTCGTAATTATAGAAGACACAAATTTGAAATAAAGACATTATACAGACACTTTTTTACGTAGAATTTAATAATGTAGTTAACATTTTTTTTCAGTTGTTTGTTTAGCCGTAATAAAATAAACTTATATTTTTTTAAAATTGGAATCATAGATGGCTATGTCATTTTTAAAAAGCTTGTTTTTTTTCTTATCTAAAAAAATATATTTGTAACAAGTTATTATAATACATTATAATAATTTGTTGCCCATTTGGAGTGAAATAGTTTTTCCATGGCCAACTATTATCAAACACAATATGTATTTCACTTTTTAAATATAGTCATAAAAAAAATATTCTGTTACAAATATATATTTTTTAGATCAGAAAAAAAATAAGCTTTTCAAAATTGCCATAGCCGCCTATGATTTCCAAAAAATACAAGTTTATCTTATTACGGCTAAACTAATAACTGAAAAAAATTGTTAACTACATTATTAAATTCCTCGAAATAAAGTGCCTGTATAATGTCTTTATTTCAAATCCGTATCTTCTATAATAACGAAGATATGATTTTTTTTACATTTCGCCAAAATGTCAACTTTTGTCTGTAAGTCGAAAACAAAGACGATAACTGGATGCGGTCTTAACCAATATTATTTTCTCAAAAAATGTGCCCCAGAATGTATTACTCGTTTTTGGCTAAACCTCTTAGTTTCGGAGATTCCCTATTCGGACATCCAAAATGCAGCACCCTGTACAATGTTTCTGCAACGTCATTCGAGTCATTGACAACTGTCAATGGTCAAGTTTGCGAAACTTTCCAGGAAGCATGTCGACAACTCAATCTACTCGCCGAAGATCGAGAATGGCTCAGATGTTTGACACAAGCAAGTCAAAAAGACATGCCAAAACAATGCGTCGCATGTTCGCGTTTTGGTGTTTTGCCAAGTTGAAGATGCACTTCGATTGTGGAATGAATTCAAACGTTTTATGATCGAAGACTTCACACGCCAAGGAATGGAAGAACGTGACGCCGAAGTCAGAGCACTTGAAAAGATTCAATGCATTCTGATTGTAAACGGTCGAAGACTGTCACATTTTGGTCTAGAAGATCCTCCAGAATACAGACCAAATGTAATCCAGGACGAGATCGACGAGGCCCGAGAAAGAGAGATGGCGAAGCAATGATTGAACAGTTGAACGCTGATCAACGTGACGTCTTTGATATTGTCATGAGAGCTGTTGAAAATGACGACGAAAATCGTCGCTACTTTTTGTGAGCGGTGCAGCTGGCACCGGAAAAACATTCCTCTACAACACACTGATCAGAGTTTTGAATGGTCGAAGAGAGAATGTAATCGCTGTTGCTTGGACGGGCATTGCGGCGTCTCTTTTGAGAAATGGACGAACAGTGCATAGTCGATTCCGATTGCCAGTTCCGATAACAGAAAATTCGACGTCACTTTTGAAAGCTCAATCAAACGAAGCGACATTCATTCGCGAAACTTATCATTTGGGACGAAGTAACAATGACAACACGAACAGCTCTTGAATTAGTCGATCGTACATTGAAAGATTTATGTCGCAACGATCGTCTTTTTGGAGGCAAATGTATCATTCTTGGAGGTGATTTCAAACAGTGCCTTCCTGTTGTCCAAAATGTAGATCGCACTGCGATCGTCGCAAACTGCATCAAATCAAGCATTCTTTGGCGTTCTTTTGAAAACCTTCAGCTGAACATCAACATGAGAGTGCAGCCCGACGAAGTTGAATTTATTGGTTGGCTTGATCAACTTGGTAATGGAACTCTACCAACTGTAGAGAATCGCCAACAACAAGTAACACGTCTTCGACGGGACACAATTCAAATTCCCCAGCATTGTATCATCAATGGACTTGATGAGTTGATTGACAAAATTTTTGGGCAAGACTTTCGACCAGATGCTTTTGTCAATACGGCAATTCTCACTGCAGATTGTCTTCTATCTTAAACAGGATTCAGGCTCCTGTTCGAACGTATCGAAGCGTTGACAGAGTGGTGACAGACAATCCAGCCGAAGCTGCAAATTATCCTGAAGAATTTCTCAATTCACTCACACCATCGGGATTTGCACAGCACGAGCTAACGTTGAAAGAAGGAACCATCGTCATGCTATTGCGAAATCTCAACGTCAGAGCAAATCTTTGTAATGGCACACGATTGGTAATTCGACATTTGAGGGAACGCTTCATTGAAGCAGAAATCATCAATTTTGACGGACAATTGTCTGGTAGAAGGGAGTTTTTGCCGAGAATCGAATTTGAATCTTCAGAGAATGAACCTCTTCCCTTTGTTTTGAAAAGACGGCAGTTGCGATTGTCATATTGTATGACAATCAACAAATCTCAGGGCCAGACATTCGATTCGGTGGGAATTTTTTTGCCTAGACCAGTCTTCACCCATGGTCAGTTGTATGTCGCTTTTTCACGTGCACGTACAATGAATGAAGTATCAGTCTGCCTTGAAAACACGACACGTCAAAGTATCTCCCGAAACAATGATCAAATGTTGGCGTACACAACAAATACTGTGTACAGAGAAGTACTTTAAATTTTGTGTCATTAAAATGACGTCTACAGATTCCATATTTACATATTTGTTCTTGATATCAATTTTTTTTTTTTTGTAAATATTTGGTACTGAACAAATATTTTCGGAATCCGATTCGCTGCTTGCATTGTTGAATCACAATCATCTTAATAATTTCTAACTTAGCTCGAAATTGAGATGTGACCGTTGAAGTCAGGATATTCAATATCATTTGGCATCCGGAGGTTTTCAATATGTATTTATTTTTATTACTGAATTTCTGAATATTTTTCAGAAATTCGATAATAATATAAATACTTTGAAAACTCATTCACTGCTTGCATCGCTGAATTGTAAAGACGTCTTTAGATTTAGTTTTAATTTTTTTTTTTAGGATTTCAACATTTGAAATGGCAATGATGAGATAAAGTAATGATTCTTCAGTTTTCAAATGAGGATGAACCAAAGACTGAGCCATTTCCATTTTTATATATCAGTAAAAACACATCCTGCAACTGAAAATCCAATTCATGACCACTAAACAATCTTTTTTTGACAAGCAGACAAGCGAGAACAGAAAAAAACAGGGAAAAAATGATTTGGTTCCATCTGCAAAAAGTCTGATGTCCTCAACATTGGTTGTCCTTTTCTCAATCTATCAAGATGTAATGTCTGACCCGAATCCTATCACAGAGTGTATAAATACCGAAGACGAGAGGTGTTACAATCCGCAAAATGCTGGAAGCAATCTTATCATTAGTGCTTGTTCGGACATTCTGCATATTCTTAATTCGAGAAGAATTCGCCCTACTTGCAAATTTTGCAATTTTGACAAAAAAAATCGCATAACTCAAAAGCAAAACAAAATTTCGTTCTCAAAATACGATCAAATTTTTATAGTACTTTATATTTATATTAATTAATTATAAATTATAATTATAAATTAATTAATTATTTTTTGGAGATAAATGATTTTAAAAAAACGCTTGGTTCCATACTTTATATTCACCCAGTATAGTAATTATGTCATGACTAACTTATCCGAAATTTATCTGAAGATTGTAAAAGCTAACAACATGGTAAGTTATAAATTATTAAATTATTTAAAAAATATAATTAATTTTGATAAATTTGTTTTTACTTTTATTAGTTTTTTTTTATATTAATAGAGTAAATAATAACTTTTTTATGAACACTTTTTCCACTCCCAAAACAATTCAAGTTCGCCGGAGAAAACGACGGCTTCACCGTCACCACCTTCTCCGCCGGGACCCCCATCAAAGTCGCCGCCACCCCCATCAAAGTCGCCGCCACCCCCCCATCAATGTCGCCGGCAACTGCACCACCGGCAAGTTCGACGGGTGCCACAAAATCAAAACGGTATTTATTCAATTTGAAAGCGCTAAATATATTCTAATTTCAAATGTTATAGTCGTCGCCGAGGGCGGGGTCGGGGCCGCGGCTGCAGCCGGGACCAAAGCCGAAGCCAGGGTGAAACCCTGGCAAGTACCAATGCACAGTCTGCTAATAAGACTGTGCATTAGTACAAAAATATAAATGTGTACAACTACTACATTTATAATAATAAATAATAAATAATTTCGAATTGCGTTTTGCATCTCTCAAATAAGAATTTAATATTTACTTCCAATGAAAACAATTGAGATAAAAATAGTCAGCTATTTTACCGTTATAAATACCGAATATGATATCTTAGATGATAAAAAAAAAGCCCAAGAGTCTATAAAAGCCAAATTAATTATGTCCAATTTTGGATGCTTATAAACAAGTTTATTCCCAATCATATTGTAATCTATCAATTTCATGACATAACAACATCTGGGAACTACATGTTTACTAAAATAAAATTAGCCCCTCAAAAAATTTTTACATACATACCTGAAGAATCGCTTGCATAACTCTATCAGTAGTTATTACAATCAGTTAAGTTATGTGTTGTTATTTCACATTCTTTATTTACTATAAACATACAACACTTATATTATAATATTCAGAAACTAAATAAATAAAAAATTAAGGGTCATTTATTGAAATAGTCATTTCGACAGTAATTTTTAATTTTTATGATTATGCCCCGCTTACGCTGACTTATATTTTATTAAATACATTAAGCTATTTATTATTCAATTAGAGTAAATTATTATTTTTAACATTGAATAACTGTAAATAAAATTGAATGCACTTCGAAAAAAGTCTTCATTTCAGCTTTATGTTTTGACTTATGTAAGGAATCAACCAAAGCTCAACTATATTGAAAATTATAGTTCCAAAATAAAATAAAAATAATTTTGTGTAACCAAAAACATTTGCATAAAATGCTATTTGTGACTATAAACTAAAAAAATAATTACGTATCTGGCACTTCTTTAGTCTCCCCGTCTGTTTTTACATACGCGAAATCTTGAAAAAACAAAATTTGTCATTGACTATTCCCACAAAACGTTTGCACATCCGATATTGTTAAATCTACAGACATTTTTTATAATTTTTACAAGCCAAAACTGAAATTACCCAAAATAAGCCTAAGTGAGCCAAACATTATTTTAAACCGTCTAAAAGACACTTTGCTAAGTAAAAGTAAAGCAATTTATGTTTTTTAAATTTGAGCATTTCTATTTAAAAAATTGATAAACGTTTTTCTTTATTTCTTTAAACATTTCTTTAAGAAATTTTTAAATGTTTTTTGCAAGTCTAGAAATTTTTTAATCCAGTACACACACCTCACACTTTCTTAGTCTCCCCAACTGTCTTTTGTAGCACGATGTTTTGAAACGTCTCGAATGACATTTTATTAAATTTAAGCATTTCTTTAAGAAATTTTTAAATGTTTTTTGCAACTAGAAATTTTTTAAACCAATTCATCTGACACTTTCTTAGTCTCCCCAACTGTCTTTTGTAGTACGATGTTTTGAAACGTCTCGATTGGCATTTTTACTACTAAATTTAAACATTTCCCTAAGATTTTTTCTTCTTCTGAAAATCAAAGTTAGTACATTTAACACTTTCTTTTTACTCCAAGCCAAACTAATTCGAAGTAACCCAAAGTGGCCTAAAGTGACCTGAAGCTACTCAAAGTGACCTAAACATTATTTTTTACAATCTAAAACACACTTTACTAAATAAAAATGAAACTCTTAATCAAATCCGATAGGATTTGACCACATTTACTAGTTAATAATTACTATAAATAAACAAAAAGCGTTTATTAATAGACAATTTTACAATCAATTTGATGCTTACCATTACCATTATCGAAATTGATAAAAAAAACTAAAGGAAGAGAATGCTAATGTTTCAAACACTAATATTTAAAAAAGTTTGGGTGAAACAGAAAAAAAACAATGGGGAGAGTCGGAATTTTCTTAGGGCTTTTGGCGCCAAATTGGCATAATACGTTGCAAATGGCTAAACGAAATGACAACGCATGTGAAATTTTGTAATTTCTTAACGTCGCAAGGCGCACGTGTTGATTTCACAAAGCGCAAAAATCTACATTAAACAAAAAACACTTACCGATCAAGGGCTTTTGTTGCAACGTCGTGTCGACTGGGTAGACCTCCATCACAATGGTGTTTTATGTTTATAATTTTGCAGTTTGAAAATCACCACAAAACCATCACAATATTCACAATCACATAGTCACACCATCAAACCACTACCACAGACCAGCTCACACAACCTCTCAAGCATACAACCATCGACTGACAACCATCTGACAACTACAGAACAGAGAGAATAAGAAATGAAATCTCCCTAGAAAATCACTGGCAACACGAGCCTCTAGTGGTCAAGTGTGTTACTAACACGGATTGGCGCGACATTTAAATAGACCCCCTTCATTTTCAATTATTATTATTATCTTGCAAGTTTGATTTCAAATTTTGTTAAAAATGAAAATAAAAAAAAATCATTTTAAACAAAATTTGAAATGAAACTTGCCATTATTAAATTGTTTCAAAGTAATAAAACAAATTTTTGTCAAACTTTTTTATTGTAAACTATCAATAACAAAATAATACATCAAATCAAATTTCTCTGAAAATTAAATTAACTTATTATTACATAACAAAAAAATCAGTCAGTGTTGGCATATTTTGCCTGTCTGTCCCAGATGTAAAACAAAATAAAACCTTTTCTGCAAGAATTTTCCATAAAAGTATCATCTGCCACAAAAAGATTTGTTTGTGAAATGTCAACAAACTTCTCTTGTGAAGCCAAAACACAGGGCTTGGGAATTACATTTAGATTTAATCTATCCTTTGTCTCATTCTCAAAATCGCGGAGTTCTAAATGATCCTCACATAAACGCCAAAACTTTGAACTTACGGAAACTTCAATTTTGCAGGCATTCCTCCACAATTCGTAAAGCTTTGGGTGTTTAGGGAACGTGAAGAAGTGCTTGTTGGCAAGTCCTTTAACGGGGTTCGGCACGTATCCACTGGTGCAGTCAGGGTACTTGCAGAAATATTTTCGATAACCAGCCATGACAAAAGTTTACTTGAGTAGCAGAAATCAAAAATCCCACTCCAGCCCAAAGAACGATTCCTTTGTAAACAGAAATAAAAATCAAAAAAACGAAGTTTTACCAAGTAAAAAAGATAGTTATCTTTTAATTGGCTTCCAACAGTACGAATTCACTCACCGACAGACTACTGTAAACGAAATTTTATGGTTTTGCTTAAGTAATAAAACAAATAATTACTGAATACTTACGATAACACGCGACAACACACAACAATAAAAGTTTGGCACTTTTTGGCGTATTTTTTGCGCAAACGTAAATGTCATTTTTATGTCAAAAAACAGAAATTCATAAAATCCCTAAATATTAAGCGCTTGTTTTAAAATACGTAACGCTTATTGGTGCTTCCTGTTCACCTCTCTTTAAGTGCAATACCCCCTTGCCCATACTCTCGTGTTGCCAGTGCGCCTATCTCAGCTTCATACCCGTGCTGACAACTGTTGCGTCTTGCGCCACAGATTAGTTGCGTCATTAGGCGTCATCAAACGTCTGGCCCGAGAACTAGATAAGGCGGCAATTTTGAAAACATGTTTTACTTCAATTTATTATTCTTTATTAAAAATAAATCAAAAATACAAAATACCATCGCCGACTCCATTGAAATAATCCTTTTCTCGCCTGGGCATTTTTTGAGATCAACTGATTCCCCGTTGGCCCTATAATCTGGGGAAAATTTTTGACAAATCCAGTTTTTTAGCTTAAAGGGTTCAACCTCATAATATCAATTCTCTCTGGTGTATCTTGTTTTGTTGTATCCTTCCTTCCCAGCTTTTATTAATTGCGTTATTTTTTGTTAATAATTAAAACTCATTCAGTTTTTCCTTAGTAACCCCCGTAACTAAGAAAAAATCGGAATCACTGCTCCAATGCATTTTTTACGAAATGCCCAGGCGGGATATTGATACATTTCATTAAGGAGGCGGTGCAAAATACATGTTGTAGACATACATGTTTTATTTTTAAAATACAATCACATTTTTATATTACTTTAATTTATATTAATTATTATTTTCTGAAGTCAAATAATTAAAAAAAAACCGCTTGGTTGCCTGTATGTACACTGGCGGACACGGAATTTTGGAAGATTTGTCATTCGACTGACATAAAAATGTAAAACGGGCCTTAGGCAACTAACCTTACTTTCGGTTTTAGTAATTTTTATCCTGAGAGCGAGAGAAAAAATGACAACAAATCAAAATAATTTATTGATCTTACCTATATTGCTGGCATTATTGTTTCGGAAAATCGACGCCAAAAATAAATTTCAACTAAAACTTTCAAATTTTAGTTTCAAACGTCAATCATAATGACAATAAAGCGTGGCTTACATTGACATTTTCTGAACTGTCATAAATTTGATGTCCAAAATTCCGTGTATTTATTTATTCCTTCCACTGGAGTCACTCTTTTTCGTGGACTATAAAACCTATTCTATAAAACATATTCGATAATTCTACATCTTCTTTATGTGGTGTGGAAAAAGACAGATCAATGGTGGTATTGGTAACTTCTGGTGGAAGTTCAATTTTCATCTGATCTGAAGAATGTTATGGGTTGAGAAAATTAAGAATTAAAATAGATCAATTTTTAATTTGTTAGTTTATTTACTTGTTAATATGGTATTTTTTGTTAAAACCTAAGTTTTAAAATCTTTACCCACTTTTGGTACCGACTCCGACGACGCATGTTCCCACAACTCCTCACTGTTATATTCGTACGTATATCTTCCTTTAATTAACATAAAGTTAGAAAGTGATGTTATTTTTTAACAGAACTTACCTTGACACATACTAACAAAACGCTATGAGTTGGGGAACAACCTTTTGAATACACCGGAGCTTTTAATTTGGTCTGGCAAAAAGTGGTGGTTGCACATGCAGCCTCTCTTGTAAATTTCACCTGGACTTAGCTTTATAATAGTGATGTTCAGGCTGATAACACCTAAACTTACTTCTTTTTTCAAAAAGTAAATATTTAAGTAATACCTAATACAATCTGTTATTGAAATACGTTAAGAAACTTTAAACGGTGATAGAACTCATCAAAACAAATTACTTTGCTAAGTACCATTTTTTCGAAAACTCAAATTTATACTTACATTTATTTTCACCGCATTCCGTGTCATCGAGTCGTTTATGGATGGCACGGTACGCAAGAAAGTAAATACGGCAAAAACCCAGGCAGATATGTCTTGCAAAAACTTACTGACACAATTTAGTCACGTCCTTCACCTGCATGCGGCCGTGTTTACAATTTACTGGCAAGTGAATTTCCCGTAATTATCGACAAAAATGGTGCAGTACACTAATCCGGAGTTAACAGACATGGTGCTAATCTACGGGGAAGCTTTATCGAATGCTGCTGGAGCGATTTTACGGTCGCCATGTTCAAATTTAGAAAATCGATGGATAGGTCGTAATGGACCAGTTTTATGGCCAGCTCGTTCACCGGACTTAAATCCTTGTGACTTTTTTCTATGGGACCATTTAAAACAGATTGTGTATGAAATTCCAGTTAACACCGTCGAAGAATTAACTGTTCGTGTGAATAATGCAGCCGAGTCAATTCGACGAAATTCCGACATGTTGGTGATAACTAAAACTTCTATGACTCGAAGGGCACAAGCATACATCGATAACGGAGGGCGTCTTTTCGAACATTTAATTTGAAGGTTAGTGCCCTTGATCAAGTGTGGTGCGTAACTTGGAATGTCACTCTCACTTACTACGAATAAAAAATTGGTTTTTGCTTGGCTATCAAGTTTTTATCTTCTTTCGCTTTTAATGTACGCAGGGAGACATTGGCGGGTACTAGAATTTACGTTCAAACTAATTAAAATTTTATCTGGGTTTAGAAAGATTTTTCGAAAAAATGGTAAATAGCAAAGTAACTTGTTTTGATGAGTTCTATCACCGTTTAAATTTTCTTAACGCATTTCAATAACAGACTGTATTAATTCTTGGCTTTCTTAATAAATGTATCAAACTTTTTAGCACATACGGTGTTGCCGGAAATGCTACCAAATTTAGTTTTTCAAATAGAACATCTATGTTTTTTTCCTCGAATCAATAATAATATTTAGTTTTAAGAAGCGAACCTGTTCGTCTCAGTTGTTTTTCAATCTTTTAGCTTCTGCTCTATTTTTATTGCACTTAAAAACACTTCAAGCAGATCTACCAATTCGTCCTAATTATTATCACTCATTATTAAAAATCTCAATAACATTTATTGACAAATTATGCTTTGTCAAAATAACAATTAAACGGTATCCAAGCATATTGCATTTTGCATAAAGACCTTGACAAGTAAAATCCGCCTACGTTGCAAAATTTGCTAATGAAATTCTAAAATTTAAATTGTTTTCTGAGTACATTATGTAAAGTAAAATGTAATAAATAATTGTACACCGTATTTTTCATGCCAATTATTATTGTTTCGAGCGAAAAGCATAGGTGTTCCATTTCAAAAAATTAATTTGGTAGTATTTCCGGTTAGACCGGATGTGCCAAAAAAATTTGATGAATTTACAAAGAAAGCCAGGAATGAATAGTAGTATTTGAAAATTTAGTAGAGCGAACACCCTGTATACCCCAGAAAAAATGACTATTTTCAACACAAACAAGCACTTTTTGGAAACATCAAACATACTTTCAATGCTTTCAATGATTTTTTTATTGACGCACCTTTTGCTGCAACGTCTCAGTTGCCTACTTTTATTGATTTACATCAAATTAAAGCTTTTATTAATACATCAACTTTTTGTTCGAATGGAAAATCGTTCTTCTTACAAGGCTTAAATCATAATGACATTTTGGGTCTTATGAAAAGCTTAAATAATACTACTTCATCTGGAGAAGACGAAATATCTAATTCTCTGTTAAAAATAATAGCACCTTTTATAGCAATTTCTCTGACTCACATTGTTAATCTTTCTTTTCAACAGGGTGTGTTCCCCCCACTAAACTAAAAATAGTAAATGTCATACCACTTCATAAAAAAGGTCCATCTAATAACATCATTAACTATAGGGCTATTAGTCTGTGTTCTAGCATCTCAAAAGTTTTTGAATTGGCAGTAAATAATCAATTAGTTAAGTACTTTACTTCAAATAACCTCTTCTCAGCCTGTCAACATGGTTTTCATAAAAATAAAAGCTTAGATACGGCTTTAAATAACTTTATTGGCGCCATTATCTCTACTGTAGATCAAGGAGATTTAGCACTTGGACTTTTCGTAGATTTTACCAAAGCTTTTGATACGGTTAATCATGAAATATTATTGATGAAACTTGAATCTTATGGTAAAAGGGGTGTTGCTCTACAGTGGTTATCAAGCTACCCACTAACAGATTTCAGCAAGTTAAATTTGGGTCAAAAACTTCCTATAAAAAAGAAATAAATCAAGGGGTTCCACAGGGTTCTATTCTGGGGCCTACGTTATTTATAATATATAAGGGATTTTTCACGAGTGATAATGAGCCTGACCAAATGTGAACTGCAGCCAACAATACATTTGCATAGGCTTTATGGGTTTTGATTATGAATTTTAAAATTAATAAAACATAGTTATCGCTGATTTTTGACATCAAATGTCAGCGGAAACTTTGACAAGTTTAAGTTTTATTCCTTTTGAGTGAAATAATGTTCACGTTAGAGCAGAAATTTTTTATTGTTGTACAAGAGGAAAACGGTGAATGGTCATTTTCACTTTCAGTTTGTGTGGTAAATGTCCAGCCCAGATTCCCAGCCAACGTGTTGCCAACTGTAGAGTCGCCTACTCTAATTTATTTTTTTTATAGCACGGTTTTTTACAGGCATACGTTTTCTGATCCAAGGACAAATTATCTTCATCGCTCGATATTTGGTCAAATGGTTCCAAAGTTATTACAAAAAAAAAATCAAATTTTCATACCCAAATTCCGAGGGCCGTAAAAATCCTATCAGTAGAAATAGAACACAAGTTTTTATTTAAATTAATTTTATACAGGTCATTTTTGAGGTTCAAATATTGCTTCATATTTATGAATGAACCTGTAGTAAGGCCCCTTTCTCATTTAAAGTCTGGTTTACACAGTCATGGCCTACGGTTATGCCAATTTCATTAAAATTAATTATTTCTTCAGTTGTACCTCAATAAAAAAAGAAAATTTAGAATAATTACCAACTCAAAAACACATAGGTTCACAACAATTCATCAAACGATCATTCTTATCGGTTTTTACCTTCTTATCAAAATTAAAGCCTACAAAATTTCCTACAAAAATAGTCTTCTGACTTACCGTAAGCGAGTTATAGGGCTGACAAAAAACATCATTTAAAAAAAATGTGTTTTATCCGCATTTAAAACAGAATTAATCTTGTTATTTGAAAAAACTGACAGTAAACTGAATTTATTGGGTATGCAAAGAATAATTTTACTAGAAAATTTTGTAGGATTTTTTTCCACTGATTTGTCTAATTTGACTGGGCTATAATAAAAGGTGTCAAAAAAAATCTTCAATTTACAAAACCCGGATTAAAACAAATATAACGATTAATTTTGCTTTATATTTTTAAAATTTTATTTGAATTTTGCCACCACTTTATCTAGTTCTGCGCAGCCGCCTGAGTAATTTCTCTTTTCCGGTGAAGTTTGTGTTGCTGTTGTCGGTACGTATTATCTGAATTTTTAATTTTACAATCATCTGCAAATTTATCACACTATTCCTATTTTTCTCAACCCCAATCAATTATAAATCATGCATTCTCACAATTTCCACTTATATCGCCCCAAATTTTATACAATAACACAGATTTTGAGTTAACATAACCCCACTTTTCATCTCCGACCTGTCCAAACTTGTCTGATCAAAACCCTCGACTTGTTTCAGGAGTGACAAACAGTGTTTGACATGAAGTTCAACAAATTAGTTACTGCTTCGAGAAGCAAAAATAGGAAACGGCATTTCACGGCGCCGTCTCATGTCAGGAGGCGACTTATGTCTGCCCCCTTGTCGAAAGAACTGAGACAGAAGTACAACGTGCGTACGATGCCCATACGCAAAGATGACGAAGTTCAAGTAAGTGGAGATTTGTCTACTGGTTTTAGTTACCAACAGTGAAAATTTTAGGTAGTGAGGGGCCACTACAAGGGACAGCAAGTAGGCAAAGTTGTCCAAGTGTACAGGAAAAAGTTCGTTATTTACATTGAACGAATTCAAAGAGAAAAGGCCAATGGGGCTACTGTTTACGTTGGAATCCATCCTTCCAAGGTAAAAAATTGTTTGACTTTCTTACAATTTCAATAATAGTAAAAAAATGATGATTATAAACCATTCGTAGACCATAAGTATTGACTGCATTGTCGCCACTTGCTAAGGTTCTCTTTTCAAGTGTGTTGGCTTTGTTTTTGTCAACTTATGACATGGTGAGAAATGGCTCTGACTCCCATTTTCGCACATTTTTTTTTTTTTGAATAGTCTTGATTTTGTACTAATTTGTTGCATTTTAGGCCGTAATTGTTAAACTTAAAATGGACAAGGATAGGAAGAAGATCATTGACCGCAGAGCCAAGGGCAGATTGGCCGCTTTGGGCAAAGACAAGGGCAAATACACAGAAGAATCAGCGTCGGCAACAGCTGTTGAGACATCTTAACTTTTGTGTATTTATTATAATAAAAGAAAATTTGTATTAATTGTTTTATTCGATTTTTGGAAAATATTTACGCAAGTTATCATTGACCCCTTCCCGATTTCGGGCCAATTCAATAGCATAGAACTGAATTCGTGTCACTAGCATTGTGTTGTCTTCTGTGTAGTCCTTGGATGCATCACTGCGTAATAAAGTCCCAAAACTGTAGTCTTCAACACACTTTTTGAACTTTTCACAAAAAGGTCGCCATTTGGCTTTACTTTTCTCACTTTTCAGTTCATTTTCGTTGATAATGTTTATTCGCAAATGTGGAAATTCGTCGCGAAATTCCTTATAAATTATGTTGTCTATTGGCGTCAGTTTGAGGTATTTCGGGTCAACTGAACATAAAATCTGGAACGTCAATTTAATAATTTGATAATTAGGTTCAATTCAATTACATTAAAGTAGATTTCTGCATGCTCATAGGCCTTTATTGCCCACATTGTTTCCAAAGTTTGGTCATTTTCGAATTCTTCGGCAGGACGAGTCAGAATGTCCTAAAAACAAAAATTAAATAAATTCCTATTCAAACAATAATAAACAATTACCATAATATCACAAAATTGATTAATACAGTTACAGAAAAAATTGTTTTGAATGGTCACTCCCCACGTGTTTTTTTTTCGATGACAGCAAGGGAAACTAACTGACAAAATTTAAATTCCCTGAATGTTACTAAAAAATATTAATTTACAAAAACAATCTGAATAACTGTATTTTTATAAACTTAAATGTGTTAATAGTCTTTTAATTGTATTTTAAAGTTAAAGTTAAAAAGCAATTTAATTATAAAAATTGTTTAATGAGTACAGTCAACCAGTTGAATATTGCAAAAGAAAACTTTTAGAAAATTGGAATTAATTACTGTTAATTGTAAATGCCAATAAACATAATTAATAACTGATTGCTAACCTCGGTGAAGGTAGCAAAATTTTTCTTGTAGAGAAGAGCGAAATTACAGTCGACCAAAAGTTGGCTCCAGTCTAGGGAATTTTGACGCTACAATCTAGGGACAAGCGCTTGACCTTATCTCTGCTGGTATCACTGCACCGAGATCAATCTTAACCTCCAAAACGTCAATTGTAAAACTTGATTTATTGAAAAATATTCGACTTGATTTTTGATAATAATGTCGAAACCTAATTTAAAATCCGTAATCGAATTAAAGAGAGAAGTTGCGCGTATGGAAGAAGTCGCCAATTTGCTCCGAATGGAAAACTTTGAATATGCCCTCAAGATCAATGTAAATCTTTTGATTCCTTGATTGCGATCATTTCTTACAGTTTTTATTTTCAGCGAATGGAAAATATCATTGGAAATATGCAAGCCGTCACTAAGGACCATCCTGCAAAACTTGTAGAACTCTCTGATTGTTTATTCAAAATTATTCATACATGTAATGAAGTGAATCCACCGGCTACAGTTTCGGGGGCCCGTATGAAAATTACAGTTGTTTTAAATTCGTACTAAAGATTTTTTAATTTCAGGAGATGCTCCTAATGACCAGACCCAAATTTCCATCAAGGCCACTCCCGCTTCACCAGCGACAAAATCAAGCAAAGCCCATGTGGTTAAACCCCATATGGTAAATGGACACATACTATACATTCCCACCATAAATCTCACCCGATTAAGTGAAAATAATTCATTGCAGAAGGAAAATAACAACTCCTTGGTATATTTTGTGTGTTTAACATTTTCAATTTAGACGTTTGATTATTATAGGGGGAAGATTCGTCATTAAGGGGGCCAGCAGCACAGTCGACTTCGGCTGAAATGATTGGTGAGTGGCACAAGTAAAAGTGAATTTGCTAACTTTTTTTTTTTTTTAGAGACTGAAAATAACTCAACTCGTGAGTTCCATAGCGGCAGCCAGTGAGTTATAAGTAACTCAAAAATTGAATCGATTGTATTTTTTTTTTGTTTGTTTAGGAGTTCACATTTGGAGGATATTTCTGAAGCGTCCACGTCAAAATCGCCTTCGCATTCAACTGTTCTTTCAGGGACTTTTCAAGAGGTAAGTGTGTATTTTTTAGTAAAGTTGGTAGTTCCCAATTTTATACATATTTAAAAATATCAGGGTGACTATAAATGATTGTAATCTTTTCCTCAAGTTGATGTCAAATTTAAAATTTTAGTTTGGCAACTTTAACTTTCAAATTCAAATGTCAAACTTTTATAGGTCATTGTCATTAAGGGTGTTATGCAGTGAAGTAAAATTTCAGTTTTCAGAAATATGCAACCCAAATTGCAGGGCGTTTAGGCTTGCACTGGCAGCTGTCAATCAAGGGATTAAAAGACCGCCTGTGGCGACGGTCGCTAAGAGCACACCAGACAGAACCTTTTAAAATAATCTTAGTAAAATTTTCGGAATGTGCTCTTTCACTTATTTTCATATATGATAATAATACTAATAATAATAACAAAATGCCAAGTTGCATTGTTAAATACTTAATGAAGATAAATAATCTTTTATAAACCGAACACAAATAAAAAAGAAATTATAAGGACCATGAATGACTTTACATTCACACAAAATATTTTATTAGACTTAGCAAACACTATACACTATAAAACAAAATTACACATTTACACATACAGAGTGCCAATTTTAAAACTGGCAATCGGCGATATTTCTAGAACTGAAAGTTATCGAGAAACCGTTTCGGTGAAGCCTTTGAAGCCTTGAAGCCACAGCCACCTCAAGTTGAATATTTTAAATGGCACTACCCTACTTCTGATACATCAGTAAATAAAGTAATTAATTAAAAACATTCAAAATATTTCGTCTCCTTAGTGCAACAACTAGATAACTTGAAATTTATAGTTTTGAGTAACTGCAGTTTAAAAATTTAAAAGACAAAAAACTACATCTTGAAAGTTGCACTAAGGAGACGATTTTTAGATCACATATTTTTATGTGTAAGAGGTCAGACTTATTTTTTCTATACTTGACCGCACTTACTACAGCCGTTCGAAATTTTAATACATGCCGTAATAAAATTCTAATTTTTGGACTGAGTTTAGCGCATTTGGCCAATTCTTTTATTACAATTTATTACAATAATTTCGCAAGATATGGTTTCTACACTCGATTTTTTCAATATAATAATCCGGGCCATATGGTTTTATATTTTTTATTTTATTATAAACACTACTATCACCATCTCCTATAATTCGTTTATACCATTTCTACCGAACACATAAAACTATCTAAAATAATTTGTGCCTCCATCGCTGTCGATGTGCCTTCCCAATTTTTAAAACATGCATGTGGTGGTATGTCAATATTTTTGTCAGAATAATTTTTGCAATATTGACAATACTTATTTTTAATACCAACATACAAAATTTTTTTGGTTTTTGCACCAATTATGGAAGCAACACCAGAAGAAGCAGTAACCCGTTTAGTAATTTCTGCCAAAAAGAGAAAGTTTTTTTTTTTAATTTCAGGATTAACTAAATCAAATTTCTAACGAATTCTTGTATTATGATAGTTTTCTTAGAAGAACCCAAAATTATGTTAGAAATTAGTCTTTAACTAATAAGCAGTGCTAAATCTCAAAAAATGCAAATTTAGAGCGAGATATTTTTATATTGTAAAGAGTTTTCTTAGAAGAATTCAATAATTTGCTACATAAAAAAGCACTTTAGAGGAAAAATTTTTTTTTTAAATTTCCAACGTATACCTGATTTTTTTAAACTAAAATTATGTTAGAAATTAGTTTTTAACTAATAATCAGTGCTAATTTAGAGCGAAATTTATTTATGTCTTACAAGATTCGTTTCCCCTATCCGGGGACACTGTGTATCTGCTTCGACTTCTGTTGTCATTCATTTAGCGTTTTTAAACGTCGAATAATTCGCGAATTAAAATTTGAATGCAGTTAAATGTTCTATAAATTGGCCACAATGCTACTAGATTTAAAAAAATGTAGCTAAAAGCAGATATCATCAGTTTGAAATTCAACAAAAAGGAAAGCTTTTTGCAGGTACCGCTTGTGTAAAATCATTATTAGGGGTTAAGCGCTCTATGGGGGGGTAATAACGGCTGTAAATCATGGAAGAAGCTTGAGATTTTCGGTCCAAGGGTAATGGGGGTTGCATCCAATTTTTAAAGTTTTTTTGTAATTTAGCTTGTATTATAAAAAAAAATTGAACGTAGCGAGGTGCATATTTTAATTATCTACATGTCAATAAAAAAAATTGTTTTAAGATGTTGCACCGTTACAAAGAAAAACCTGGGCAAAGTTTTACAATAATGGTAATTTTTTAGAGAATCTAAGTAATATTTTGAAAAAAATTACATCATAGCGGGGTACGTTATGCTATTATTTACAGATAGAGACGTGGATCTTGTTGTAGAATTAAAAAATACAGATTTTACACATGGGTGAAATTTGTATATTTTCCCGTATAAATTTTAGACACTAATGGAGAGCCTTAATTTGCGGCGGGCGATTGCTGATTTAGCCGTCACCTGAAACATTCTGATGTAACAAATTATAAGGATTACCAACAATTCAGGGTTGCCAATAGATTTTTTTGTCACAAACATTAATATTCACCCGGTATACAGGGTGTTTCACATAACTTTACGAGGCTTGCGCCTAATGTACGCACCCAAATATAAAAAATTCACAAAACACTAGATACAAAAAATACATATTTACTTATTTAATTTTTGGAAACCCATGACAGTAGTTGTCAAACTAATCACTTTCATTAATAGTCATAAACTGCAGTTTTTCAAAAACAATTATCATTTGTTCTATCAAGAGACGGCATTAATATGATTCTAGTTTATCTATCTTAATCACTAACTAACTAAAAATGTTGTAATTTTTGAAAGGGTGAACAAACTAGAGAAGATTATCCAATTTTTAAAAATTTGGAATCGAGTTCGTATGGGAATATGTATTGTTGATTGTATCTTACAGGCGCATGCCTTGTAAAATTATGTGAAACACACTGTATAATACTCCCTCCGTTCCAAAATAATTGCCCGATTTTAGTTTTTTAATAATAGATTGTTGAAATAATTAAATTAAATCAGTATCAGTAGTTAATCTACATATGTATAGGTTGTTCCAATGAAAACGAGCCACTCCGAATATCTCAGAAAGTAGAAAGACTGCAAAAAGGTCAATTTTGTTTCCGAGGGGGACATTCTGTGACGTAATTTTTAAAGCACCACCAGTAACCCCCACACACCCTAACTTTAAAAGTTTAAATAGCACTACCCTACTTGTGGCACATCAAATGATTTTATATTGCGGCCCTGTGTGTCCCCGTTTTGTAATTATTGTTTGTTGCTTTTTAAATTGCTTAGCTCTTTACGGGAATTGATGTGAATCGATCGTTAATTTGCATTTATTCGATGAGAAAAGGCGAAAAGAATTTTTTTTTCTTTAATGGTCAATCTAATCTAAATTTTCAGTTGAGGTTAACGCGCACCGAGTGGGGCTCACGGGGGCTGCGTCTCCGATGGGGCTTACGGGAGCTGTGCCCCCGAAGGGGCTCACGAGGGCAACGCCCCCGATTAGGGTTTACGGAGGCTGCGTCCCTGAGTGGGGCTTACGGGGGCTGCGCACCCGATGGGGCTCACTCGATTCAAGATTAACGCCCCACGGCGGCCACTCTAACTCTAACCGGTCTCCCATGCGATGCCGTGTTGGTTAGAGGTGTGTAATATGCGGTCATAACCTCACTTTTCCCGAATTTTAGTGATAACAGGCGTTTCCGTCAGCCGATCGGCTCCAAAATCAATTGGGTTCTTAAGGCGGCCAAGGGGCACCTATTGGCCAAATGTCATCGAAAAAGAATGATTCTGAGAGTTATCGCGGTTCGCAGAAATACCGGACAGACAGACAAAAATTTCACTTTTTTTTTCGACGTAGAATCGATTGGTACAAGTTTCATTGCGATACGACTTCAAATGGCCGAGAAAAAAATTTTCTTAACAAGCTTTTCAAAACTTTTTACCAAAATTGTATAAAAAAAATGTATATTTTTTTTACCAGGAACATGAAAAAAATGTTTAAAAAATTCTATTTGTCGAAAAATTTTGATATTTACTTTTTGACATTTGACATTATTTTATGTCTATTTAATGATACTGATGATCTTGTATATGTTTTTTTACAATTATTTAGTAAAGGGACTAAATTTTGCCAATAAAAGCCACAAATAACCTCGTTACAGAGTTACAATTTAGGATACAGCTTCCTTGTTTCCTTTTTTAATAGCCTATAACAAAAAAACTCGGAAAATTATTTTTCCAAAAGAAATAAATAGAGTCAAAGTGCAAAATTTAAACCCTCATAACTTCGAAATTTTTATAAATAATTTTTTTTTAACATTTTTCCCATGTTCCTGGTATCTTACCTTATATGGCATTTTTCTCTGGGGCGCGAGTTCTGGCGCACTGTATTATTGTTTAATTAATGAAAAAAAATCATATTCTGTCTCGTGATTATCTACATACTCGTATAATAATTTTTAATTTCCAACTTAATTTATTTAAGGTGAAAATTTACCTTAACCAAGTGAGCCAAGAAAGTATTAACGAAGATTCAAGAAAATCTATTTCCCCAAAACGACGATCCCATCGACACAAGTGAGTACAGTGCATTTTTGTTTTGTAAAATAGCTACAGGGTGTTATGTAAATAGACCAAAATCTATAAGGAATTCTTCCGTCAAGCAAGACTGTTAACGATAAAACGTATTTTCTTTTTTAAATGTTTAAATTTGCAAGTTATAACTTTTTGAATGGGACCAACTAAAAGGAGAAAATAAAATATGGAATCAAGTAACAATATGTTTAAATTTTGACAATTATCAATGTTGAAAGATGCGTTCAGGGACGACGCAACTGGGGTAGTCATAATTTACGTGTAAGAAATAAAATATTGATTCGAAATGTTTCACAAGAATGACAAATAATTAAACTAAAGTTAGCTCTAATAGATTTTTTGATAACAAATATTTAAAGTCGTTTTCTTGATTTTAACAAAATCCGATTAAAAACTTGTACCTTAGTGTTAATATTGTTAATCGACTTCAAAATTTCTTTAGAAATCGAATTCGTTTATTAGAATTTGCACTGGAACTTTGTCTCTTCCAAATTGCTCTGTTTTTTTTTTTCGAACTTCGAAATCTACAGGAATAAGATCAAAGATTGTTGAGATCTAACACCTTATTCTTACAGTAAGCTATTTTGAAACTTTTCATCACAAATCAGCAACAAATCTGCTTATTTTTGAATAAGTAATAATTATTTACATTTACTGACGCCACTGTTTTGACACTGACAGGAAAAAAATATGATTAGAATGTTTTTGATCACAAAATACTAGATATAGCTTGTTCCAAATCTGGTGGCGAACTGACGTTGTCAAAAATGACTGAATTTTGACACCAAACATATGTTTACTATTAAAAAAAATATTGTTCATAGGCGTCGTATGAAATAATATTTCAAAACCACTGTTATTTTTTAAAAAATTATAATAAGTAGGTACTCGTACATAAGATGAAGAATAATGAACAAATTATTAAATTGTTAACGCATGAAAAGAATTTTCAAAAATGATATTCCTAACAATCCTTGTCTTCAAATTTTTTTAAGAAAAAAAGTACGCCCATGTATTTTTTTACCTTAAGCAAGTGGGCGCACTCCAAGTGTCTTTTCTGTCACTGTCAGTACGCCACCAGATATGGAATAAGCTCTACATACATCATCTTAAGCAAAAGAAATTTTTCTGATTGGGTAATTTGAAAGAGCTTTTTGTCTTAAACAAAATACACAAAAACAAAAATTATTCAAACATATTAATAATCATACACGCCACCCAAGAGATTTTGGTCTATTTACATGACACGCGATGTAGCTTCTGTATAAAATAAAAATAATTTTAATTTTTTGAAAGAAAATGATTCTGTTATAATTTTTCATAATACCATACTGTTAAATGTGCTTTATCAAATCTCTGTGTTTAATCGATATGTAGGTCAAAGCATCCACGGCCCTTATTTTTTTGACACACAATATTATCTTTATTAAAATTTTAATAAGTACAGAATTTTAATTGAAGTATCTTTAAATATTTCAAAATTGTCAAATAGGTCGTCCCATTTTGTTTTGTTATATTTGTGGAAGGTGTGCTATGAAAAAACAATTCCAAATTTTTTTGTATATTTTTTATTTTAGACAGATGGAATTATTCAACCATAAACAGAACTGTGATCTATATTTTCATATCACGTAAAAAAATTAAACAACTCAAAAAGTTTTTTCACGTTGTTAGAGAGTTTTTGCAAACCGTAAAAAAGTTTAACGTATTATGACAAATGGTCGTTGCTAAGAAATCAAAAAAATAAGTCATTTACGTAAACGTCTTTGAATTGACGAAATACGCCTTTTGTCCTTGAAAGACGTACATACACACGACAATTAAATGACGTTGTCGTTAAGGTTAACGTTAAACTAATCGGTTTGCAAAAACTCTCTATTATGAAAAGTACTGAACGCCACACGACCGAAAAGCAAATAACGATTATAAAACCTCGGCTATCGCCTTGATTTTACAATATTCAACCGCATCTGTTATTTGCTTCTTATCGGCCTTATAACGTTAATAACAGAAGAACTGTAATGTCCACATAAGTCTTTCTAAATATGTATATCCACAGCTCTAACTATTTGTATGATCAACTTATTTCAATAAATCTGTTTTATATTCAATAAATTAAGATGAACTGTGCACCATTTTAACTACTAATTTATCATTTTTTGTTTTTTAGGTCTGCTGCAGTATCGAGCTCTGTCACTAAAAGAAAATACAAGCGAAGATAAATTTGTTACTGCAATTGTTAAGTATATGGATTAATTTATTTATCACATTTTTCTTACATGTATCTGGTTTCTGTTACTCGAATATAATCTCTTTGGTCCCTAATAAAGTGATAGGTAAATAATACTGATTTCCTAAGTAAAATATTGTAAATGCTAGGTAAAATAATCTAAATGCTTGGTAGTAGTGCTATGTAAGAAAATACTATTTGTTAAGAGTAAAAAAAATTGGAACCAATTTTTATCTTTTAGAGCATTTTTTGGGTCAATCTAGCGAACTCTCAACCGATTTTTCACTTAAAATCATTCACAAGAATATTATTTATTGTGGGTATTTATTTATTCATGTATTCGTGTATTACTGAACATCATTTATTATTTTACTGAATAATTGCATCATTTTGTTGTCCTGTTTTTTATTTTGTTAATGAGGATCTATTATTTAACTACTTCTACTGAACACTGTTTTTACTGAATAAAAATATTTGACGTACAGTACAGTACCGTGCATTTAATTTGCCTTTTCTTTTTTTGTTTTTTTGGTTTGTTTTGTAATCGTTTTCTGTACTAAAGCTTTATTTTGCATTTAGCATTTACTGTATTCACCAAGTGTTTACTATTTTTACTTAGCAAATGTGTTTAGCATTTAATTTGTTCCCAATCTATTACAACCTTTAACGTGTTTTATTACTATTTTCTTAAATGATTTAAACAACAGGTAGATAAGTATTGAAAATGTGATACACAAGGTTATCCGCAATATAATCTGACATTGAAAATATTGAACAAGTTTTACGTTTGAAGACCTAGACCCCACATAAATTAATTATTTTTAAATACCATAAAGCATAATACCTGTTCTTATCAGATAAAGTAAATTAACAAATTGCATTCCACATTAAATATTTACTTCAATTACTTTGCGATATCGTATTTATTTAAACTTTTACATAGTGACCCGGCTTTATCATATTATCGTGTTATTAATCATGTTTTTTTTTCATCGACGGTGGCATCATTAATCAATATCTTATTAAGTAATGATGTTTTATTGCAACATAATGACGCAAAAATAACAGATAATTAGCACTGTTTATTCAAAATCTGTATCTAAGGGATTAATTAATGTTTTTGCTCATTTTTGAACCATTGTTTTCTTTCAAACTGCTCTTTTTTAAAGAACTGAAGTGCAGTAGCCCCGATTATCGGAAGTCCATGCTATCCGGTCACAAAATCGATTTTTATCTGGAAGAATTTGGCTTTATTTTTTTTGTAGAGATTCTCAGAAGCGATAAAAATTTTTTTTTTTTTGGTGTTCATGTTTTTCTTTTTAATTAAAGTTGTTGGCGTTTTTTCCAAAGCACTCTCCGTAAAAACGCTTTTTCATAATTTTGATTAGCATGTCAAACTTGATCACATCGTTGGAAAAAAAGTCTACAAAAATACAGACATCGAATATGGCGTCCATAAGAAAATCTAAGTTTGAGTGTTGTAACTCTGACATCAAGAGCGCCTTGGAAAGTACGATGACAGATTTAAATTCCTTATAAAAAAGTGCCTTAAGAACGTCCTAGTTAAAACGTCTAGGATAGAAAATGTTGCACCTATTGCAGAAAAGAATTTGCAATAATCTGAAATCAGTAAAAACTTATGTTTGTCTCAGTCGCACACCACAGCTCAGTATAAAAATAAGTAAAAAAACAATGCTGTCGTCTTTTAATTATAACATTTACAAGACAAAACTAGAAATGTCATTGAATTAAATTACAATGTTCTGCAAAGTTCATTCTTTAATCCAAACAAAAATTCGTTGAAATCTGACAAATTTTAGGTGTCCGGTTAATTTTGGCGGCCAGTACTTAATACGTATGTAAAAAAAATGTAAATATTTGTCTTGCTTTTCTAAGTATTTTATACAGTATGTCCCCGGATTGGAAAAAAAAATATCTTTGATTTTACGTCAAAACTACAAAGAAATAACATTTATTGCTTGATCTAAAACGGACAAATCTAAAATTAAAACTTATTATTCTAACTCATTCTAAAGAAAAGTTTACAACATGAAAAAAAAAAAAAACAAAATTTATATTAAAGTAAAATTTGGTCATTTACTACACAGTAAAAATCCTTTTAAACAATTTTAGTAACTAAAACTAACTGACTATAAACTAAATTAGTTATAGCCAAAAAAAAATTAATAAGTAAAATTGCCAAGTTTTACGTGAATGTTCTTTATAAATCTTATACATATTATTGTGATGTGTTTGTTGCACGTTTAAAAATGAAATGCAATACCCACTCAACCCAATTATTTCGCCAGATGGTATTAAATAAAATAAAATAAATAAATAATAATAAAATAAAAAATAAAATTAAACTAAATCAAGAGATTGTGATCAGGATGGGACATTTATTACTTTCTTCGGTGCTACTGACGATACTCTGACAGCCGAGGGTCTAGAGTAAACTTTTCAAGGCCAACAAAGTTCCATACGGCTACATTAAATTTTTCGTATTTTCCGGAATTTTGGCTTAACCGGAAAGAGTCAGATCCACATTAGTACAAACAATAAAACGTTGCAAAGTTCCATTATTCTTAATTGACCAAATAGTAAACCTTTTCGTAAAATGTGGTTTATTATAATTAAAGTAAATATTGTCGTATCAACAAAAAATTACTACCTAGGATTTAGGAATATTTGTGAATAGGTTGCTATACATTTTGTTAGATTGGTTTCTGGTGACAAATAAAAGATATCGTAACTAGTGTCAAAATTTAGGTTAAGACATCTGTCAGCTTGTATGGATAATTTAATTGATAGTTGACAGCAGGTTGACAGAAAACGTCAACCGACAACAAGGGGTAACCAATTTTAGGCATACAAAAATTCTAGTTACAAATAACATCAAAAACGTAAGTTCAAATCCTAGGTGGTAATTTCTTGTTGACAAATCTATAGGTGAAATTATTTGTAAATGTTTTTAGCTTAGTTGAGAATATTAAATAATTTACAACATGGAGTAAAATTAGTATCTAGCATTTATTTGCATTATTAAATTCTATTAAAGTCAAAAGTGTGTAAATAGGTTTCACTGTTCAAATATTTTCAAACGTTTAATGATAATATTGCAACTCATTGAACAAATAAATACAGGAATTGTGTTTGTGACAAGTGTACACGCAAATGATAAAATTACTGTATTGTTATTACTACCATTATACAAAGAGATTGCTAAATAAATAACAAAATGCTGTAGTTTTTTATTACGTACAATTGCAGAATTAAAATTTCGGGCAGTATTGTCATTTTCACAATGTAAACTGTAAAACAACTTTTACATTAATAACCTTATTTTTGTCATTGACTTGTCATTTTGACTTAAAAAGTAGCGTCACTGACATAAAAGTCTAATTGTCAGTCATGAATGTCATGATGACAGTAAAAGGTAGTTACAGTGAACTTTTTGAAGTGGCAGAAAAATGCTGCCCGAAATTTTAATTCCGTAACTGTACATACTTAATTATTTTTTTGGCCGACAAATGTAATTGACATATTTTTGACAGCAACGGTATCTGATTATTACAAAGCATTTGTGCGGTTTTGTACACGCAGGCAACGGTTGGTTTAATTATTCAAACAATGGTATCAAACTTGTTATAATTACTACGTTTCCATGAGGAATTGAATTCGAATTGAAAACGGTATTGGGATTGAGTCCGTGTGTGTTTCCATGAAGTAGTTTGTACTCTTTTTTTTTGGAAAAAAAAGCAAAAAAATTAAATCAAAATGACTTCACACAACGACAGCTTTTCAACATCAACTTTTTGACACAAACCCGGCAAAGTACGGTTGGATTCAGTACGATACTGTTTCCATAAATAAAATCGTACTTTCAATCCCGATGCGATCCCAGAATTTACCGTATCGACCTTGAGATCCAAATCAATTTCAATACCGATTTTAAAGTGTTTCCATGGCAGTATTGAATCTCAATACCGTTTTCAATTCGAATTCAATTCCTCATGGAAACGTAGTAATTATTTCACATACAAATCCTTTGATCTATGGGGAATCAATTTTGCCTGAGTAGTTTCAAATTCTTGTAAAATTTCTTCTGAATAAACGTTTTCTGCTTCAGAAATGTTCATTTCGAAAAATGAGTGTTTTTTAAACAAACGCAGTAACCTTAACAACATCAAAATAGTTACCTTTCTACACAACACTAAAATTTGCATGGACACAAATTTTAATTGATTACCTTTAAGGAATTCTAAATATTTGTTTGAATCTTTTAGAAATTAATACGTAAATAACTATTTTTCTTTATCTATGTAACTAGTGGAAAGTTATTAGTAAAGTTAATAATGTGTAGAATCTTTCGTTTTAAAAACTGAAAAGTAAAATTTTGCACCAATATCCAAAGTTTTGATTTATCTTTAGATATGGTTTTTAGTGAACTTGTCTTATATTATTGTTTTGTTTGAGTCTGTAATTTTTTTTAATTTTTTTTTTTCAAAATTATAAATTATCACTATCTGTATGCAAATTAATTTTGATTTTTAAACACGTTCTAAGTCTAAGCTCTAAGCTTTTAGTACAAATGCAAAAAAATACAAGTTCATACCGATGAAAAAATAAACAATAACGACACAAAGTCAAATTTCTTACTTGAATTTTACTTTTTTTTCATGAATTTGCAGATAATCAAACAAATGAATAAAATAAAGGGACTTTCTAAACGTGTTGTACACTATATTTTTTGCATAATGCACCCTAAAGATAAAGACCAATATTGAAACACAGAATAACGACTAAAAGGTTACAATAAAACTTAAACTCTTGAATTAATCCTCTAACAGACTCTTATCGTAGATTTTATGTATAAAAATAAACCCAAAAAATACCAAAACAAGAAGATAACAATAAATAACCTTTTAATCTGCGAATCAAAATATTAAACACACCTGACATTTATTAATATTTTTAATATCAGGTATTACAAAAAACAAATATTTTTGCACTTTTCCTTTAGCTTTACATAACTTGAAGGCATTTGGTACAGTTTAACAATCACCGATTTCGTCATAAAAATACGTCAAAACCAAATTGAAAAACAAGCTCCGATAAAGAGTCCCAAATTATCACTTTTACAAATACAAGGTTACACGCTTATTGTTGATCAGTTGATCTGATGTCAGTCGAAGGTAGGCCGTCCATCTGTAACCATCCAGCAAAATGAACAGTTTATTTAAAATAACAAAAACGGTAAGGAGACTCATACATATTTTTTCTCCCATTAACAATTTTCCCCAGCTTGCAAATAACAATCTCCGAAATATTTACACCGTTGCCAAAAAACTGCAACAAGCACAACCCCACTTCGAAGCTAGCCCTTCAACAGCGCAACCCTTAACTGCCCTCACCGAAGATGAGTTGGCCATGAAGGAAACCGTGGCCCGCTTGGCCCAGGAACAAATCGCGCCCCATGTCAGGGAAATGGATAATGATGGGCGGTTCAAAGATTCCATTGTGGAGATGCTCTTTTCCAATGGGTTGATGGGCATTCAGATCGATACGGATTATGGGGGTGCTGGATGTAATTTCATGACAACAGTTTTGACGGTGGAAGAGTTGTCAAAAGTTGACCCATCGTTGGGCATTTTGGTGGATCTCCAAAATACCCTAATTAATAATGTCATCATCAGGTTTGGGAACGAAGAACAGAAAAAAATGTATTTGCCACGATTAGCTATGAATACGGTGAGTTTTCATTTTGAGAAAATTTCCACGAAAATTGGGCAATCCATGATGTTGAAAGTAGTTCAGAATTGATAATTTTAATTACTAAACTTATCTGACAGCTCGGATAAAATTAGTTCATATTTGCATTCACAATAAGACAAGTTATTTATTTTTTTGACCAGTAACGGTTTTCTCTGCAACTTTCCATTTAAAATAAAAATTACGAATATTTCTGTTAGTTTCAACTTCATTTACACATGTATTAATTGGGTTTGGAAATTATAATCTCAAATTGTGACGTTTATTATCATTGAAACGTGTGTTATGCTGTCGTAAACAATTTTCGGAGCAAGTATTATTATTAATTAGTTAATTTGTTATGACGTTTCAAATAAAGATAAATTTTATACAGTGTGTTCGTTCTAAGTATGTCCCAGAAATATTGAACGTCACTTAAACTAGAAAATTTTCTGATTTCAACTTAAATCAAAGAATAATAAATAAATAAATAAATAAATGAAATTAACGTAATTACAGTTGGAGACAAAATACTTTGGTCGTCACTTTTTTGACACTTTAATGTAATTCAAGCTTTAACGTTAAAATGAATGACAATTTCAAATTAATGACAACTATTATATTTTCTTATCAAAAATATGTACATACAACTTCTCAACTAAAAAGCTAAAAATAAGGTTAACAGTCCTAAAGCATGCTTTACTCAAGTGACATTGACGACCAAAGTATTATGTCTCCAACTGTACATTTCATTAATTTCAAACTAAAAATTTAAATCTGATTTTATAATTAGAAAGCACTAAGTTGACGCCCTCATTTTTTTATCTTTGCAAATGCAACTCACTAAAAAAATGTTACAACCTTATAGCTTGTACCTTCTTCTTTGCGGTAGTAAAAAAATATTTCTAGATGTCTTAGTTTTTGTGTAATAATTTTTTTAAAAGTGCATGTTTTTGTCAAAAAACCATCTTATTTTTAAAACTAGGCAAAATCGACCAATAAAAGTTTAGCGTAAAAACATTGTCGTAAAAATCTACATCCAAAAACGCTAAGAAACATATGGTGTTTCATTTAAAAAAACACAAGTTTGTATTGTAACTTATGTTTTGAGACACGCTGTATAGTTGAAAATAATTTTAGGCGATGGACTAGATTAGTATCTATCAATGTCCTATAATTTTTTTTTAATTTTACCATTTAAAGGTCACTAATGGACTTTTTCAACTCTCTGGGACACCCTGTATGTTCTACGAGTAAATTAAATTAAGTAGACTGTGGAAAAGAATAGCACATTTTTAATGAAATAAAAAATAAAAATGCGACAGGTAAATCCAAAATTTAACTGTTGTAAATTTGTGTAAAATAGAAAATCTATTATTTTTTCAATAATTGTGAAGGACTAACAAAAATTTAAAAGCAAAATATCGTTAGGTAAAGTTTAGGTAATAAAAAAACTTCATTAGCGACGTTTGTTGTTTTTTTCTTTTTATAACATTCTTTTTATATGGTAGGAAAGTATTCTGAGAAGGATGATAGTATTATTTTATTAATTATGTACAGTTGCAGAATTAAAATTTCGGGCAGTATTGTCATTTTCGTAATGTAAACTCTAAAACAACCTTTAGATTAACAACCTCATTTTTTACTCTTGTCATGTTTATGTTATTTTGACTTAAAAAATATCATCACTGACAGAAAAGTTTAAATGTCGAACGTCTGTCATGATGACAGTAAAAAGTAATTTACAGCTGTTCTGTGGTTTACAGTTAACTTTTTGAAGTGACAGAAAAATACTGCCCGAAATTTTTATTCTGTAACTGTACAAAATTAACAAACATTTACGATTTTATTTTTACACTATACAGATACAGATTGCTATTTATTAAAAAAAATACAATTGAGTACTCTTCTGGAATAATGAAACACACCTCGTACAGTATAATACCCGTGCCATACTTTTTATTCACCCTGTACATTTACTAAAAATAAAAGACTTATTCAGACTCTATTTTGGTTCTATTTTTTTATTTCATAACTGTTTACGTAAAAGATTTTTTATTTAAACATCATTTGGAGACATTTCCTAATCTGAAACTCACATTGACATTGCTTGATAAGAGATTAACCACAAATTGTGTGTATAAGGTCAAGGTTGTCAAAATGATAATCACAGATAATTGAATAATTATTGTTAGTTTGCTTACGTCATTAAAAAGATGTATATCTATACTATATTTCCTCAATTCCGAGAAGGGTGAACAAAACAATGAATGTAATTTTATTTTGAGTTTCATTTTTAATTTTTCCAGGTTAGCAGTTTCGCCTTAACTGAACCATCATCAGGTTCCGATGCTTTCGCTCTTAAAACAATTGCCAAAAAGGATGGTTCGGATTTCATCATCAACGGTTCGAAAATGTGGATCTCAAATTCAGACCTAGCCGGAGTGTTCCTAGTCTTAGCCAACGCTGATCCCTCTAAAGTACGTTCCAAATGCACAATTATTAAAGATGAACAAAAATATGGAAACAAGCGGTGTTTTTTTAAAATCAATTGCCTTCAGATAATAATAACCAATAAAAATTAAAGAGCTATAAAAAATGTGATCGTGTTTTCAGTATGAAATTTTGTTTTGTTTTGAGTTAGCGATTTATTTTCAAAATGGCAACTTATGAAATTATTTTTTGATAAAAATTGAATAATAAAACTTACACCTAGTTGCAGTCGTAGCCTTTCTAAAAAAAGTTTTATATTTAGAGAGTTGTCATTTAAAAAAAAAAATAAAAACTTTGCTGAACTTAAAAACAAAAAATAAAAATCCAGAAATTTTTGAGAAACATTACATTTTTGTAGTATTTTAACACTAATCATTCAGTTTTTTCAAAAATTTAATGGTTTAAAGCAAAAATGTTTGGTTCCATACTTTCTGTTCACCTGGTATACGAAATGTTTTTTTAGGGCTACAAAGGCATAACTTGTTTTATCGTCGAACGGGATACTCCCGGTTTCACAATTGCAAAACCCGAAAAGAAACTCGGAATTGCCGCTTCGGGAACTTGTATGCTCACTTTCGATAATGTGAGAGTGCCAGAATCCGCTATTTTGGGGGAATTTGGAAAAGGGTACAAATTGGCAATTGAAACTTTGAATGAAGGCAGAATAGGAATCGGTGCACAAATGATCGGTTTGGCTCAAGGATGTTTCGACGCGACTATTCCATACACGATGGAGAGGATGCAGTTTGGAAAACCGGTTTTCAGTTTTCAGGTAAGTAAGTCTTTTTTTGGTTATAGAAATTCGAAAATTGGCCTTGGACACAAAAATATATTCACTTTTTTTTTGAATCACATGGTATTTTTTACGTTTTTGTGTGTCTGCAAATGTTGAATTAGGTGTAATCATTTTTTTTTTTTTCAGGGAATGCAACACCAAATTGCTCAAGTGGCGACCGAAATCGAAGCAGCCCGACTTTTGGTATACAACGCAGCAAGACTTCTCGAAACTGGTCAAAATTATACGAAAGAAGCTGCAATGGCGAAATGGTACGCGGCGGAAATTGCACAAAGGGCGTGTATTAAATGCATCGATTGGATGGGTGGAGTCGGATTCAGTAAAGATTTTATTCAAGAGAAGTTTTACAGAGATGTCAAAATTGGAAGCATTTATGAAGGAACGTACAATATTCATTTAAGTACAATTGCTAAGGTTATTGAAAAGCAATACCAGAACTGAGGGGCTTATATTTTAAGTTTTTTTACGTATTTGTAAGAAATAAATAATAAAAAATTGAAAAGTGAGTTTTCATTCCACAGTCTGTGTAAGAAAATAAAAACAAGGTTTTTAGTCCGGTCAAATTAGTCATAAAAATATGATAACGAAAATTCCGCCACAGCTAAATTTTGGTGGAGAACTTAGCTACACCATTAGAAATAAAGTGTCACAAGTCCCCATCGATCCCATGTGTGCTAAAAAAGTTATTCGGGGTCAAAGGTCAAAATTTGAGGTTTTTTAGATTTTTCCGAAAACGGTAAGTTTTATCAAAAAAGTAGCCCAAACAAAAATTATAGATCTTAAAATTATCTACAAAAATGATCTTTATACTTTTTTTCTAAGAATCACCATTCCTGAGATATCGCGATTCTAATAGTTGAAGGAGTCACGTTCTACATCATATGCACATACAGAGTGCGCCAGAACTCGCGGCCCAAAGACAAATGCCGTGTAGGATAAGGTACCAGGAACATAGAAAAAAATTTAAAAATACAATTTATAACAATTTCAAAGTTATGAGAGTTTATATTTTGCACTTTGACTCTCTTTATTTCTGTTGGAAAAATAATTTTCCATGTTTTTTTTTTGATACAGGCTATTAGAAGAGGAAACAGGCTATTAGAAGAGGAAACAAGGAAGCTGTATTCTAAACTGTAACTCTGTTTAATGTTATTTGTGGCTTTTATTGACACAATTTTAGAACCTTTACTAAATAATTCTGAAAAAACATATACAAGGTCATCAGTATTTTTAAATAGACATAAAAAAATGTCAAAAATTTTTGACAGATAGATTTTTTTATACATTTTTTTCTATTTCAGTACTCTGGGGGTCTACCCAATTACTCCCTTACAAGGAAGTGTGCGATTTTTTGAACACCTGTATTACCACATAAATTCTTTTTAATTCTAATGAAATATTTATAAGTCTAATGAAGAGATATTTATAAGTCTAATGAAGTAGCAGAAAAATTTCAAGTACGATAAGATACCAGGAACATGAAAAAAATGTTTAAAAAGTTATATCTGTAAAAAAAAATTGACATTTATTTTTTGACATTTGACATTTTTTTATGTCTATTTAATAATGCTGATGATCTTGTATATGTTTTTTTTATAATTACACACTAAAGGTACAAAAATTTTGTCAATAAAAGCCACAAATAACATTAAACAGAATTACAGTTTAGGATCAGCTTCCTTGTTTCCGCTTCTAATAGCAAAAAACTTGGAAAATTATTTTTCCTACAGAAATAGATAGTCAAATTTCATAGATAAATTTTTTTTAAATTTTTTCCATGTTTCCCTACATAGTATTTGTCTTTGGAGCGAGAGTTCTGCCGCACTCTGTAGGTGCATATCATGTAGAACGTGACTGCTTCAACTTTTAGAATCGCGAAATCTCAGGAATGGTGATTCTTAGAAAAAAAAGTATAAGGACCATTTTTGTAGACAATTTTAAGATCTATAATTTTTGTCTGGGCTGCTTTTTTGATAAAACTTACCGTTTTCGAAAAAAATCTAAAAAACGGCAAATTTTGACCTTTGAACACGAATAACTTTTGTAGCACACATGGGATCGATGGGGACTTTTGACACTTTATTCCTAATGGTGTACCCAAGATCTCCACCAAAATTTAGCTGTGTCGGAATTTTAGTTATTTGAAATGTCTATTTTGACCGGACTATCTTGTAATTAGTAAGTATTTATTTGGAATTGGAGAAAGTTCAACAACTTGTGAAGCAACACAATTAAAATCAAAAAGTAGTAGTACTTAAAACACAAATTTAATCAATCATAATTTGTTTCTTGTTTTCTAAATAACTATTTATCAAAATAAAATTACAAAATTTAAATTAGAAAAGAAATTGTATGTTTACTTTAGATATTTTTGAGAATCCCCGAAAATCAAAAGGAGAATTGAATAACGAACAAACAAAGAATAAAAAAAGTACACAACAAATACTTAAAGTTTTTTAAAGGAAAAGAATTATCCAACTTGAAAAAACTTTTCTTTATATTATACATTTTGGAAATGATAATTTTTTTTAAATTTAATTCCCTAATTTCTTAGTTTTTTTGAAAGGTTTTATACAGAAAATGAAGGTAGGTATTTCTTTATTTATCTGTAGATTAGGTGTTTAGAATTCGGTATTTTTTTAGATATACCCTATATAATATTATTAATACAGGTGCGCCAGAACTCGCGCCCCAGAAAAAAAATTACAAATAAGGTAAGATACCAGGAACTTGGAAAAAAATGTTAAAAATATTTTATTTATAAAAATTTGGAAGTTATGAGAGTTTAAAATTTGGACTTTGACTATTTATTTCTGTTGGAAAAATAGTTTCTTTGCTACAGTCTATTAGAAGAGGAAACAAAGGAGCTGTATCCTAAATTGTAACTTTGTTCAATGTTATTTGTGGCTTTTATTGGCACAATTTTTGTACTTTTACTAAATAATTAAAAAAAAACATGTACAAGATCAAAAGTATCATTAAGTAGACAAAAAAATATGTCAAACGTCAAAATTTTTTGACATATAGAATTTTTTTAACATATTTCTTGTATAGGTACCCTTTCTGGGCCAGTTGCGGATGGATAAAAAAATCCAATAAGAACACTTTTTTTTTTAGATTTTTTGAAACATTTTTACATATTTCTGGTACCTTGTCTTACTTCAAATTTTGCTCTGGGGCGCGAGTTCTGGCGCACCGTGTATACAGTTTATCTGGAAAAAATCGTTAATGGATTTTGGAGGGTAATTCCTTAGGACTAAATAGAAAAAACAAGTTTGAAAAATTTAGATTATTAAATTTAAAAATAAAAGTAATTGTTGATATGTCATTAATTAAATTTGACAGTGTCATCAATTCCACTTTTTCTCCTTGAATTCAAAATGTACTCAAACGACAAAAAAACTTACATGATTTTGATAAGTGGAGAATGCTAGAAAAATGCTGTGGCTGAATCTATACCGTCATAGGTAGGACTCCAATTTTTAAAAATTTTCAAAGCTATCAGGTATATGATATACACTGTGTCAATTTTAAAACTTGCAATCGGCAATTTCTCTCAAGTGTAAAAGTTACTAATAATCACTCAAATCCGTTTTGGTGGTTCCTTACGGAGAATTAAAATGACATGATAAGTGACACACCTCCACCCACCCTTGAATAAAATGAAAAAAATGAAAATTTAACGTTTTCGTGCCATTTAAAATTTTCAACTTAAGTTGGCTGTGGCTTTAAGAGTGGGTGGAGGAGCGTCACTTACTATGCCATTTTGATTCCCCTTAAAAACCACCGAAACGGAGTGATTCGCAATAACTTTTTTAATTCTAGAGATATTGCCAATTGCAAGTTTTAAAATTGACACCCTGTATGATTATATTTTTGAAAAATGTCAAACAAAACATCAATTAATGCCTAGTATCTGAGGTTGCGTCTGAAAAATGGGTTAGGGTATTTATTATAAATGACTCACCCTGTATGTATTTGCTGTACAAAATGCAACACAAGACTTTCTATGTTAGATAAAAAAATTGTTCCTTCAATTTTACCTAGAAAAATATGTTTTATCGCATATTTGTACCTTAGGAAATTGACTGCCAAAAACGGAAAAAGTTTTTTTTTTCTACCCTATAATACAGTAATTTATCCCAGCAGATATTATATCTATTCTATATTATTTCGTTTGGTGGTAAGAGATCCCAGTTTTTTTATACAGGTACCCTTTCTGGGGCATTTGCGGATGGATAAAAAAATCTAATAAGAACTTTTTTGTCATTTTTAATACACGAAACGAACAAATGCATGAAACGACCACTTAGGTTAAGTTAGGAAAATCTTCGTGATGAGCTCGAAACGCACTTTAACAATTTATTAAAAAAAACTACTCGATAAAAAACAATTTTATTTAACTAGAGATCATTTTTAGAGTACAGTCTGATTCAAAAAAATTGTCATGGTAGGAGGATGTTGACATTAATTTTTTTTCCAAAACTCAAAACCTAAAAGAAATTTCGAAAAATTCTATTTCTAAATTCTATATAACGATTACATTTTTATAGTAGTTTACACTGCACTAATTATTTTTTTCGTAAAGTGATAATTTTATGTAAAAAAAAGCTTGGTTCTATACTTTTTATTCACCTTGTACGTACGTAAGCCACTAGATTTAATTACGTTTTTTTTTTATTTTGCCAACAAAAGGGTTAATATTAGTCTAATTCAAGCCATGTTCAATATAATTTCTAATTATTACATGTATTATTTTATTATTATTAGTATTTATTCATGATCATTATTATCTCAAACCATGACAGACGATTATTCTTGCCATTAATATCTGGCAAATACCTAATTTTTGCCCGTTTTTGTTGTAAAGTGCAATATTAAGATATTCAATTTAGAAAATGCGATTTAAGATTAAGTTTGACCAATGACCCCAACTCATCTATTTTATAAATATGTATCCACTTAAAGAACTCTTATTATAGATTTGTATGCTTTACTGTGTTGAAAATGGACACTATGTATAGTATTACAGTCTTATTGTTACTATTTTTTTGTTCTAAAATTGTGACATATCAAGATTATCATGAAAGAGGTATGTGAATATAAATATCAAATTTTGTTTATTTTGTATTTACAACAAACAGATTTTTGTCGAATGTACAATTCAAGTGAGATTGGTATATGTACTCTGTTTTGTGATAACAAAAAAAAATTCGATAATATTGACAGCAAAAATCCTTGTGGACTTTCACCATTAAACTATTCTCTAGTTTGTTGTCCATTAATTTGGCAAGGACCTGGTTCACGGAGTAAAAAAGGTAAATGCTTATGATTTAAAAAATAAATAACCAATTAGTTCTCTAGAATGTTTTGATTATTATTTACACAAGGAAGCAATTTATCCAAACGTTGATATCAAGTTGGCCAGAGCCTTACCAAGAGAATTCCCGCATATGGTACCAGTTTAAAGGAAATGGTGAAACCTTTAATATTTTTTATATTTGAAGACAGCGATTGGTTTCGGTGAAAAACCCAACATTTCTTGGTTATGTGGAGGATCCTTGATCAGTTTCAACTTTGTTCTTACTGCCGCCCATTGTATTCACACACTGGACCAGTAACAAGAAAGTAACAATATATTCACTAATTATATTTTTCTCTTTCAGCGGAGAAGTAAAATGGGTGCGACTCGGCGATTTAGACTTGAAAAATACCACAGAAGAAGCCGATCCTAGAGACATTCCCGTTGAACACATTTATGTCCACCCCAAATATAAATCTTCTTCCCATTATCACGACATTGCTTTACTTAAAATAAATAGATCATCTTCAGTTATTTCACATTATTTCAGTGCTGCTTGTTTAGAAACAGAAGAGCGTTCTTATGATCACCTCCAAGCAATTGGTTGGGGTAAAACTGACTATTTTGGTGAAACAAGCAGTCATTTATTAAAAGTGAATTTGACTACTGTACCGTATAGAAAATGTAAACAAAGGTTTACTTCTTCAAGAAGACTCAAAGTGGGAATTAACGATACAGAACAATTATGTGCAGGTGATTCCGAAGGAGGAGATACATGTCCCGTGTGTAAACTAGAATTTTTTTGTTTAACATTTTTACATATTTTGTAGGGTGATTCAGGTGGACCCTTACATTACAAGAAAATGGCATTCTATTCTGCATTCCTGGGCGATATAGACTCACATTTTGTCGTGGTTGGTGTCACTTCTTTTGGAAAAGGTTGTGGAATTAAAGATTCAATTGGAGTTTATACTAAAGTTTTTTCGTACTTAAACTGGATAGAAGATATTGTTTGGCCCATTGATTCTGTTGAAGAATAAATCGTTACTACCGGTCAAGTAACATATTGGACCCGAATTACGGTGTTTATTTTGATTTTTTTTAGTTACACACTATAATAACTTTTGAAACATTTATGTTAATCAATAATTGCGACTAATTTTAATAAACAGAGGATTTTGTTTGATGACAAATATTTGTTTTGATGACAACTGTTTATTCTGGTGGCAGCTTAAAGTAGATTCCTAAATTTATTTTCAAATATGTATACAGGGTGCGCCAGAACTCGCGCCCCAGAGAAAAATGCCATATGAGGTAAGATCCCAGGAACATGGAAAAAATGTTAAAAAAATTTATCTATAATAATTTCAAAGTTATGAGGGTTTAAATTTTGCACTTTGACTCTATTTATTTCTGTTGGAAAAATAATTTTCCAAGTTTTTTTGCTATAGGCTATTAAAAGAGAAAACAAGGAAGCTGTATCCTAAATTGTAACTCTGTTCAATGTTATTTGTGGCTTTTATTGGTAAAATTTTTGTACCTTTACTAAATAATTGTAAAAAAACATAAACAAGATCATCAGTATCATTAAATATACATAAAAAAATGTCATATGTCAAAAAATTAATGTCAAAATTTTTTGACAGATAGAATTTTTTAAAGATTTTTTCCGTGTTCCTGGTATCTTACCTTACTTGAAAATATTCTCTAGGACACGAGTTCTGGCGCATCCTGTATACAGGGTGGACTATGAAAAACGCCCTAAGCCATAGCTGAATTGACAATTCTTCTTAGAATAAAATTGCATAGTTTATTGTCATCTATTTCGAAGTTTTTGTACTAAACTTTTATTAATCGAATATTTAATTTGCTTTTTTGACAATTCAATTTTTAAATAGTTATTTTTGTTACAAGTACTCGTACCTAAAATACAGTTTTGCGGACGAATTGTTGCTGTTTCCGGACGGTGAAGCCGAGTGTGTCAGAAACAAATTTTTGTTATTGAATTTTCAAAAAAAGAATTCACACCTCTTATTAATTAAAAAAAAATCGCCACCATAGTAACCAAATTGACTTTTTCGTTCGGAAAAACAGTTTTTGGGGACTGAGTACCTAAAATAACCATTTTACCTACTATTTTATTGAGTCCGGAAAAAATTCATTTTAGGGACTTAAATGAGTTCCGTAAAATTTTGCTTTGAAAGAGGTTTTTTGAAATTTTTTAGCGGATTCTGATTTATTGTTTACCTATTACTGTTAATATGTTCGTAAAGAACGCGTGATTTCTTTTAAATAATCTCGAATTTTAGTTATAACTCCCTTTGGAAGCATTTCTGGACATAGGTTCATAAGAACTTTTTTTTCTTATTTTTTCCTTAATTATTAAATAATAAATCAGTGGTCTATAATTTTAAAATTAAGAACATTAATAATTTCATAAACAAAATCTGCCACATTTAATATTTAATGTGTTGCTAGATTATTATTATTATTCAATGTTGCCAGATTAATTTCCCCAATACTGGCTATTTTGATTAGAAATTTACGTAAAATCACTAAACAGGGTTATTCATAAATATGAAGCAATATTTGAACCTCAAAATGACCCATCAAATGATGTTAATTTAAATAATAACTCGTGTCCTATCTCTACTGATAAGAATTTTATAGCCCTCGGAATGTGGGTATGGAAAATTGATTTTTTGTAATAACTTTGGAACTATTTGACCAAATATTATAAAATTTGGAACATTTCCCTGTGACAACATACCCTTTGAACTGGTAATCACGAAAACCGGATACATCCACTCAATTTCCGGTTCCAGCAGTTGCAGGTCACATTTTCTGTGTTTTTCCATTTTTTGCTCTCTCGTAGCATTTAATTTATAAAAAATTCACAAAAATATATCGTCAAAGTTAACAGATGCCTGGCAGGGATTTATGTGACCATGGTCATTGGTTGTCGTGGATACCACTTATTCAAAATCCCTATTTTTTGATTTCAGCGTTGTGCAGTCCTCAGTTTAAATTAAAATATCTTTGAAACGGTCCATTTTAGGGGTATTAAAGGTTATGCGTTTTTTATTCGAAATTGATTACTCTATCTATTTGGGCAATAAAAAATTGGTGTTAAGAGAGCAAAAAAATGGAAAAACATAGAAAATGTGACCTGCAACTGCTGGAACCGGAAATTGAGTAGATGTATCCGGTTTTCGTGATTACCAGTTTAAAAGGTATGTTATCACAGGGAAATGTTCCAAATTTTATAATATTTGGTCAAATAGTTCCAAAGTTATTACAAAAAAATCAAATTTCCATACCCACATTCCGAGGGCTGTAAAATTCTTATCAGTAGAGATAGGACACGAGTTATAATTTAAATTAACATCATTTTATAGGTCATTTTTGAGGTTCAAATATTGTTTCATATTTATGAATAACCCTGTATAATTCCAGCAAGTTTTGTTTGTGTTGAATAAATAAAACTTACATCTTTAAAATTTTAGTATAAATAAAATTCTGTCTTTAAATTTATAAAATTAAATAAAAAAAAATATTAAAAGTTCAAAAATGAAATAAATTCATTATTAAAATTTTTATTGTTCCGTGTTTAGAAACCAAACCTTACGACTTCTGTCTCTACAGTTTAATCTCAAAGTCAGAGACAGAGGCCACTTTCATCTGAATTGTTACACACAACATTGGAAATTTAAAATTAAAATTAAGAATTTTTGTTGTATAATCCGGAATTCATTTAAAACTACTAAAAAACTCTCACATTAATTTCAAGTTCGTTTTATAAATAAATAAAAAATTTTTTTATGATATTACTATTTATTACATATCAAATGAGTGAAAAATAGAAATAAAATATAGAAATATAAAACTAACTCAAAATAAATAAATTTGAAAAGTTTTAACATATTTTTTATCACATATTTTTTATCATTTTCTTAGCTAGCTCAAATATTAATGTAGGTACATGAATTATAATTTCGTTCCTCTTAATTTTTTTTAATTAGATTGTAACTAAATATGAAACAAAAGAAAACTCTTGCCTAAAGACATGCAACCCATATTTATTTGTAGTTTTGATAGCATAGAAATATAAAATATAACCGTTTCAATTTCTTTACCCACAGTTTATCACAAGTTATTAATCATGGACTCTTAAAAACAACATTTCACTCTGTTAGAAGAAAAATTATTTTCTTTCTCTATTTATTTATGTTCGATTAAAACCTTCAATAAGCAGCATTTGTGTTTTTCAAATTGTTTTAATTGCTTTAGTAATTAATTTATTTTTAGATTTATAAATTATCAGTATTTCGCCACAAAAACGAATGTCAGCGTCAATTGAATAATAAAGCAACTTACCAGTAAATGTGATTATCATTTTGACAATAACTCTACCTTAACACGATTCTAATTAACCTAATTTTGTAATAAGAACACACAAAAATGAACAATTTATTAAAAATATACAAAAGGGTATGTAAATACTTTATTTTTAATCATATTTAGGTTCAATTGTTGTTATTTAAGGTTAATAAAACACCAGTAAGACATTTTTTAGGTGCAACGACTAGTTTTCAACAAATTAGGGAAAATATAGAAAATGGTACTTCGGGTCATTTACCTTTAACTATATTAAGCGAAGATGAATTAGCTATGAAAGAAACAGGTAGTTAAGTTATCAATGACATAAGAAAGTTTCCATTTTGAATATTTATAGTTGCACGACTAGCTCGGGAACAAATAAATCCTCACGTCAGAGATATGGAAAAGGAGGGAAAATTTAAACAGTCAATTGTTGATATGTTGTTTGATAACGGAGTAATAAAACTCTGGTTTATTGTTTTTCCTTTTAAAAAGTTTTGCTTTTATAGCTGATGGGGATTGAAATAAGTACCGATTTTGGAGGAGCCGGTTGTAATTTTATGACGACGATTTTGTGTATTGAAGAAATAGCTAAAGTCGATCCGTCGATTGCGGTTTTGGTCGATATTCAAAATACTTTAGTTAATAATGTTATTAAAAAGTTAGGGACTGAAGAACAGAAAAACAAATATTTGCCACAATTGGCGACGAATATGGTAAGTGATAACTTACTCTAGAACTAGAAATAAGGAAAAAATAAGAAATATAATTTATTAACCAAGAAAAGTATATAATTAATGAGTTTTTTATTGAATTTGGTAGAAAGAGTGTTTTAAAGGGCCAGTTTCATAATCGAGTTAAAGAGACTTTAAAGTTAATGTTGGTTTAGAACGCGAAATTTTTGTGAAGAAGTCCGTATTAATCAGCATAATCTAAACAACATTTTTAATTGAAATCTCCTTTCAATTCGATTATAGAACTGGGAGTTTTGAATTAATAAAAGTACCTACCTAAATAAGAACGTCAGATTTCCCAAACATTAGTTCTTAATTTTTTTAATTTTATTATTATAACGTCACTCATAATACAGTGATTGTTTTTCTTAAATTTTACACAAAAACTCTCCTAGCAAAATTTGCAAAAGATCTTTTTTTTTGGAATTGAATCTTTTGTTCAAAAAATGTAAAAATTGGACTAACAGTTGTCTTTTCTTGTAAAGTCTTACTTTCAATATTTGCGACGTAAATAACTATAACATTCCTCTCTATTATACCAGGTGGTTTAAAATAAAGTTCTAAAATTTTAGACTTCTATAAATAAAATAAGGAAAAAATAAGAAATAAAGGTAGGTACATTTTGTTTTTTTAACTTTTACAAAGTATTAAGCATGTAAATTTTCAAAAATTTTGTATACGTATGTAATGTCTTGTAGCAACTATGTACATTTAAAAATGGAGTTTGGGAATTTTTCTCAAATACATATAAATCAACAGTTTGTATAATCAATTTAAATTTTCCAAGAATCATAAAATGCAAGAAAAAATTGTAAAATGTTCAATTGTTGAGCAATGATTTCATATAAACCAGAAAGTGCAATACTTGGTTTCTAAATTTCACTTAAAAACTGTGCATTTGCTTATTATTTCGTAAGAAAGTAAAAAATGTAAATCAAAATTTCCATGTGAAAATGCTTGTCAACTTTTGTATTTCCCCTCTCAATGTTTTTCAATGCTATACATATATTTTAGTCCCAGGTCACTTTTATCAAAAATTTACATAAAGAGTATAACTAGCGTGTTTTATTAGTATTTAAGAAAATTTTATTGCATTTTAAGCCATACTTTTGAAACTCTGAATATTTTTGATGAAACTCTTAGAAAAAATTCTTGTTCTAATTTGAACAAAAATTTTGAAAGTTAAGTAGGATAAGTCAGGGAAACATATGAACTACATGTTGAAAAACCTGCTGTAAAATTATATTCTTTATTTAAATTTAAACCAAGAATTTTTTCCTTATAAAAATTACAAAATAAACAAAACACATTATTATAAATGCATAAAAAATTATTATACCTATTTTGATGTGAAAAAGTCCATTTATCCCACAGTGTGTTGACGCTCAAATCTATTTCTGAATAGAAACATGAATACGTCATCAACTTTAAAAATGTTGACTTTGGTATTATAAATGTTGTGGAGACTACATATTTTCTTAATATTTACTGCATATATTGCCTTTGTAATTTTTTATAGTGCGTTCCTCTGTACTTGGAAGACTTATTTTTTATTTTAAATTGTAAGCATGAAAACTGTTTTGGGTTATAATTTGTGTTATAATGATATTAGTATGTTTGTGTATAAACAATAATAAATTTAAACTTGCCACCGTTGAATTAAGACGATTACATATTGCATATACAGGGTGTTCGTTTTTTTTTTTCGTTTTGATTTGTTCAAGCGAAAACTAAAAGACTTTTTTAACTAGGACGTTCTTAAAATACTTTTTTACAAGGAATAAATCTGTCATCGTATTTTCCAAGGCGCTCTTGATATCAGAGTTACAACACTCAACTTTGGATTTTCTGATAGACGCCATATTTGATTTCTGTATTTTTGAAAAGTCTTTTTGTTCCTGATTACAACGATGTATCACACGATATGATCAAATTTTACATGCGGATTAACATTAAGAAAAAGCGTTTTTGCGAAGAGTGCTTTGGAAAAAATGCCAACAATTTTAACTAACAAACAAACTTTTGAGGCTGGTACATTCGAGCATCTTTTGTAACTTGTTTTATTTTGCGAAGAGTAAATTCTAGTTTATCACGTTGTCCCTGTTAAAAATTTAGTTTATTAATTAAAATTGGTGGCGTTTTTCCAAAGTACTCTTTGAAAAAACGCTTTTTTTAAATTTTGATCAGCATATCGTGTGTACATCGTTGTAATCAGGAACAAAAAGACTTTTCAAAAATTCAGAAATCCATACGAAAATCCAAAGTTGAGTGTTGTAACTCTGGTATCAAGAGTGCCTTGGAAAATACGATGACAGATTTAGATTCCTTGTAAAAAAGTGCCTTAAGAACGTTCTAGTTAAAAACGTCTAGGTCTTTTAGTTTTCGCTTGAATAAATAAAAACAAAAATTACAAATTTCCGTTTTTTTCCAATAATTCAAAAACTAATAATGATACATTAAATTTTGTTTCAGATTGTTGTTCAGCATAAAAATGCGCAACTTTGCCCTAATTTAACCGACCTCGTATCTCTTATAATAACTGAGATCCCCATGGTGGAGCTCGAAAAACGAACACCCTGTATACAATAACTGAATATACAATAATAATAAATGTTTAAACAAGTGTAAAAGACTTAAAATTTTGTAATGGGCTACACGTTTTTAGTTTTTCAAGTGGTCCCTTACTGTAACTTGATACATTAAGATTAGCATTTTACTATGAGAAATGAAACCCTATAACCTAGAAGGGTTCTAAGTTCCAAAGTCCATCTCTCTTTACTCTAGAAATAAAATTTAGAGCAATGGTGAACGCATGGTACGAGTATAAGTTAAAATCAAAATGCTTTAAGATTTTGGGTTACAAATAATCACTTTACTCCTGCTAATTATACTTTCTCCAAAAGATAAATAAAAAATATGACATAAAGGAAGATTTTTCTGAAAGAAGCTGTTTTTAAACAACAAAAAGTAATTTGAAAATGTTAATTTTATATTCTAGTGTAGCAGTTTCGCCCTAACCGAGCCCTCATCAGGCTCTGACGCATTTGCCCTAAAAACAACCGCTAGAAAAGACGGTTCCGATTTCGTCATCAACGGATCAAAAATGTGGATCTCCAATTCTGATCTAGCCGGATTATTCCTCGTCATGGCAAACGCCGACCCTTCATCGGTACTTCCACTTTAAAACCATACAACAATTCATGTAATTCTTGTAAAATTCAAGGGCTACAAAGGAATTACTTGTTTCCTGATCGAAAGAGACACTCCAGGCCTAACAGTTGCTATTCCTGAAAAAAAACTAGGATTGTGTTCTTCGGGAACTTGTATGCTCACTTTTGAAAATGTTAGAGTACCAGAATCGGCCATTTTGGGCGAATACGGGAAAGGTTATAAGATAGCAGCTGGATTTTTAAATGAAGGGAGAGTGGGAATAGGGGCTCAAATGGTGGGTTTAGCCCAGGGATGCTTTGATGCCACCATACCATATACACTGGAGCGGACTCAATTTGGGAAATCGATTTTCAATTTTCAGGTAAAATTCCTTTTCTGCAATACAAAAAAATAGGTGTCCCAGCTTTTTGGAAATGTCTCTTATTGACCCTAAAATGTTAAATTATTTCATAATTTGTTACAAATATCAGTACTGCGTCATGTGAAATTATTTTAAAGTATATAGAAATAAGTTAAATACAGGGTGCGCCAGAACTCGCGCCCCTGAGAAAATTTTCAAATAAGGTAGGATACCAGGAAAAAAAATGTTTAAAAAATTCTATCTGTCAAAAAAATTTGACATTAATTTTTTGTCATTTGACATCAATGTTGCCAGCAAGTAACTAATAAATTGTGTCAACAATTGTGACAGGCGCAATACATGTTATATGTGAAATATTCTAGCCTTACTTTTTCAAAATTGTCATTTTGATATATCCCTAAAAAAACAATTGGATGTTTACACAACTCAACTTTTACAAATTTACACATACAGCTTCCTTGTTTCCTCTTCTAATAGACTGTAGCAAAAAAATGGAAAATTATTTTTCTAACAGAAATAAATAGAGTCAAAGTGCAAAATTTAAATTCTCATAACTTTTTTATAGATAAAATTTTTTCCATGTTCCTGATATCTTACCTTATACGGCATTTTTCTCTAGGGCGTGAGCTCTGGCGCACCTTGTATAAAAAGCAGTGTTAGAGGTAAGCATTTTTTTAGGGAATGCAACACCAAATCGCTCAAATTGCCACACAAATCGAGTGTGCTAGACTTCTTGTATATAACGCGGCAAGATTAGTGGAAAATGGGCAACCCTTTATAAAGGAAGCAGCGATGGCAAAATGGTACTCGGCAGATGTCGCCCAACAAACTTGTGTCAAATGCATTGACTGGATGGGTGGAGTTGGGTTCAGTAAGGATTTCATTCAAGAGAAGTTTTACAGAGATGTCAAAATTGGAAGCATTTATGAAGGAACATACAATATGCAGTTAAATACCATTGCTAAACACTTAGCGAAAGAATATCAAAATTGATGTTAAAGTTTTGTTAATTTGGAGAAAAAAAAAGATTGTGACAAATACAAATTATTTCACAAGTTTGACAGTTTTATTTATTTTTCAAATCAAAAACCAGATTATGAAGTTTGAATGAATTTTAATAAAAAAAAAACTGACTGCAAAAATCACTACAAGATCTTGAAACAAAAAACTAGATAATTAAAAATTTGAAAATTCTTGGACTAAAATTTTCCAAACCAAAAAGAAATATTTTTGCAACACTAATATCTTATACTGTCTATAAAGTACGTCGTCAATAGCAACATATGTTAAATGAGTCTATAAAATACGCTGATGCATATTTTTTGACAATTTTGACATTCTTTATAATAATTTCTGAATTTAGTAAAATTTCTGATTCAATATTAGTGTTGAAGACAACACGAGTTTTATAGTTTATACAACTCTAGTTGTCTTAATAGCCAAGTATAAAAAATTATATTTTTAAGAAACGTCACATTTTTACTGGGCTTTATCATTCAACTTTTTATTCACCTGGTACATATAATCTAATAATTGTTAACTATTGAGAAATGGTGACCGAAAACACAGATGATGTTTTTTTCCAGCGTAGAATTATTGTAGATTCGAACGTGGACTCAAAGAATTAATTAAAATGCTATTAGAGATTTCTATTTTTATTAAGTAACTAGTAGAGTGGGGTAAAAGCTAGAAGTACACATCTGGACGTATATGCTCAGTCAAGACCACTTTAAAAAAAGAGGGGAGATTTTGGAAGCGTGTAGATTCGCTTTATTGTCGGCATATTTGAGAAAAGACTAAAATAAAGGACACCATTTCAAAGCTGTTGTATTTAAATTGCAATTTTTGATAGTGGAATTTACAATTTATATGCAGTTTTCCCGTAAATGGTACAATAACACATAGACACAATAATAGTACATTACAAATAAGGTTGTAAATATGGCATTACCCCGAGTGCTTATGTATACGATCGGGAGGCGCCAGCCCCCCAGCCTCGAGGTCGGATAAAGCATTATTGTCGTATCAACAAGAAATTAGTCCCTAAAATTTAGGGATATTCATGATTAGGTTGTAAGCAGGTTAAGCAGGTTTCTGGTGACAAACAAAAGATATCGCAACCTTCGACCATATATTAGATAGACTAGGCATACTCTGATTTGTTGTGAAGCCAACATGTGCAGGTGGGGCAAGGGGAAATCACTAATGGTACGCGAATTTGACCATTAGAGACTCCTTCTCTGATTGGTTCATTCATAATATGTGAACCACCAGTGGCGTCGTAATGTATTCTAATATTCCCATATTACATTGAATATTTTTTTTATATTGTAACTCAGGCGATATGATTGTAGATTGTTAAGTGATCACACCAAAAGAGTCAAGTAGTTTGAAAATCTCGAAATACCACTAGTTTTTTCAAGAAACATTATTTATGAAACTTATAATATTTTTCATTTTCTGCCCCTTGGCTACGAGCCGCCACTGAACAAGAGGTAAGGAAGAGTAAGCATCCTCTTGCCCCTCACTCCTCTTGTCCATACATGTTGGCTTCAAACAAACTGCCTACAAACTCGCTGGATGACGTGTTTATCTAATATATCATAATATATGGTCGAAGATCGCAACTCATTTTGGTTATGGTTGCGCCGTAACTTTCTGAGTAGTGGGGGTACCGCCATATTGATACGTCATCCAGTATGATAGCGTTTTGTTTACATCGTGGATTCAGAGTGTTTTGAGTGTTTTTTTTTTCGATTTTTTGAATAAAAAAGACATTGTGGTGCTAGTGAAAATACAAAACAGCTAGAGACAAATTTAAGTATAGTTTAGTTTTTAGTTTAATTGTAGTAATAGTTGCGTGAATTGTAATCAAGTACACAGTAAGTTTACCCTTATTAGTCTTATATTTGGAATTACTGACTATTTCTGACTTTAGATGACTGGAACTATATGCAGTGTGGCAATTTGCAAAAGCAACGCTCAAAAAGCTAAGAGAGGAGGCGAGAAAATTAAGTTTTTCTCTTTCCCAAAAAATCCGGAAATTCGCAAAGAATGGGTTAGGAGATGTCATCGAAAGGATAAATGGGATCCAAGAAACAAAAGGATCTGCAGCAAGCACTTCACTGATGGTGATTATCAGGACAGTCTGCAAGCAAAATTATTAAATATTCGACCAGAAAAGTTGAAACCCACTGGTAAGTTCTTTAAAACATATAATTTAAGTAATATAAATAATTATGAACTAAACGTTTTTTCCAGCTGTACCATCATTGTATCTTTTGCCACAAAGCACAAGTCATCGAGGTCTCAGTAAAGGAGAAGAGAGAAAGTCCATAAAACAGCGTAAACAAATTGTAAATGAAGTGTTGGAAACTGAAGATGTACCAATTCTAGACACTACGAGTGCTGAAAATGCGGAGGTTGTTCCTTCCACCAGTTCTGAATCGGAAGTGGATATTTTACGGAAAGAAATAAATACTTTGATTATGGAGAATGAAAAGCTGAAGAAATCGTTGAAGGAAAAGAACCAAGAAGTTACACAACTGCAACAGAAAATTAGCGAATTAGAGAGTCCTACTCGAATATATGCGTCTAATTGTGAAGAAAAGATGAGAGAAGCCCTTTCGCATTTTTTAACCCCAAATCAGTTAGATATTGTTCTGCAAAAGAAGAAAAAAGCTCGATGAACAACAGATGAGTTATCGCAAGCCTTCACTCTTAGATATTTTAGTAAACGAAGTTATGAGTATCTTCGGGAGAAACTTCATTATCCATTGCCTGGGATCTCAACTCTACAGCACTGGGCTACTAATATAAATGTAAGGTTAGGTGTTTTAGAGGATGTGTTAAGAATAATGGATGTAGCGGGAAAATTAAAATCATCACTGAATAAATTAACAGTTTTATCATTCGATGAAATGAAAATCAACTCTGTACATGAATATGATCAGAAAGAAGACGAAATTTTAGGACCTCATTCGTATCTTCAAGTAATAATGGCACGTGGTCTTTTTGACAACTGGAAACAAGTAATTTACTTAGGTTTTGATACAGGCATGACAACAAATCTGTTAGAAAATGTGATAACAAAGATGCATACGATTAATTATAAAGTAGTTGCTTGTGTATCCGATTGTGGTGGAGGAAACCAAGCACTTTGGAAGGAGTTGAATGTAAATACAGAAACTACTTATATGTTCCATCCAGTGACATAAGAAAGAATTTACATGTTTGCCGATGCACCGCATTTACTTAAATTGGTTTATTAATAAAGGCTTTTTGTTGGAAGATGGGACTATAATATCAAAGACACCAGTGGAAGCTTTAATTAAGTCCTCAAATACTGAGGTCAGTTCCTGCGATAAACTGACATTGCAGCACTTAACGTGCGAAAAAGCACAAAGATAGAACGTGTCGTTAGCAGCGCAATTATTTTCCAATACAACTGCCACTGCGTTAAAGCAATACAAACCTGGACCTGATAAATAATTGGCCTCAAATGTGAGAGACTTCATATAGTTGGATATTTAGCGAGGAAACATACAAAAAATTATCCTCACTTGGGAATGACGACCAAAACTCGTGAAACTTTGAACCTTCATTCTTATAGTGCCCCATCATGGATTACGAGTTTGTCATATGGAGGATTAACTGAACCATCTGAGTTGTGCTTAAAGAAAGTTAAAACAATGGAAATTTTTTTTAGGCATTTTCATAAAAATAAATTCGACACCGGCAAAAAAATTATACATCGAACTACCCAATATATTTGGAAGAAAACACAAGTGGAAAAGGATCTAGTTCATTCATTTAGTCGTCAACGGCTATTTATGCGTATAAAATATTTAAATGCACAAAGATTTAAAGAAAGAGTGGCAAAAAGGAAAGGTGACAGAGGCTACAGCAAGGAACGCAAATACTTATAATTTATAAAACTTATAATTAATATACAGGGTGTTCGGTCCAAGTTGTCCCGGCTGATAACACCTAAACTTACTTCTTTTTTTCAAAAAGTAAATATTTAAGTAATAATATTCAGTCTTGGCTTTATTAATAAATATATTAAATTTTTTTAGCACATCCGGTGTTGCCGGAAATGCTACCAAATTTAGTTTTTCAAATGGAACACCTATGTTTTTTTCCTCCAAACAATAATAATTGACATGAAAAATATTGTAAACCACTATTTATTACATTTTGCGTAACACAATGCAATCAAAAAATATCTTAAATCTTAGAACTTTATAAGGAAATTGGTCGCGTAGCCTGATTTTTAATTGTAAAGGAAAGGTGTGAAAAAAAAATGCTTGGATACAGAACGATTTGGGTGAACTCTATTTGAGTATTTTTCTCTATACTGTCTTTCGGCTTCCGCTCTATTTTTATTGCACTTAAAAAACACTTCAACACTTCAATTCGTCGTAATTAAAATCATCCATTATTAACGATAAAATTTATTGACAAATTAGGCTTTGTCAAACTAACAATTAAACAGTATACAAACATATTGCTTTTTGCATGAATACTTTGACAAGTAAAATCCGCCTACGTTGCAAAATTTGGAATAAAATTCAAAAATTTAAATTGTTTTCCGAGTGCATTATGTAAAGTAAAATGTAGTAAATAGTGGTTTACCGTATTTTTGAAAAATAAAAAGTAAGTTTAGGTGTTATCGCCCGGGCGACTTGGACCGAACACCCTGTATTTTTTTCAAAAACAGTTTTTATTTATTTGAGACACAGCTACAGTTTTCAGAAAAAACTTGAACTGAAACCACTTATTTCAAGTTGGATTGTTTCTATATCACATTCAACGGCGTGAAAATTGCTCCCTATAAACAAGTTTATATCTAAATTGTTTTTTTACTTACTCGACCCATTTGTATACCTAAATATTTAATTTTTTAAATGTTAATTATTATTCCTTTCACACGATTGACTGCAAGTCTTTATCTATAAACTAAAAATTTTAAGCTTTGTTGAGTCCAATGCGAAAAATATAATATTGTATTCAACTCGTTTGAGTGTAAATCGGACGCTTGTTACACTCGTGGTTTAATAACCCACTCGGTGAAATAATTCGTCCGATTTACACTCAAACTCGTCGAATAAATAACTATTATTTTAGAAAAATAATGTTTGTTAAATATTTTTTTCTAATTTGCGTTTATAATACGTTTATTAACGTCTCTCAGTAGGAGTCGTTTATGGCTATCTATAAAAGCACACTGTACTTTAATGAATTTAGGGTTATTTAGTTTTTGTATGCCGCTTCTGACTTGTCAGGTAACAAATTTTGCGTTGTTGCTTCGGCAATTTCGCGAATTTCGGGCGGAGTGCAAACTAAATTCTGTTGGCTCATATTTTATTTATTATTATTATGTTGTAACACTAATAACTAATAATTTGTAAATTTTATTTTTAATGACAAACGTCAGAAATGATTAAAAAAATCAGGAGGGCGCCGAGTGTTACCAACCGATACCAACTAACACAAAATTTTCTAGACAAAAGTATATATTTTTATTTAATTAAATAAGAAAAAAAGGGGGCGCAAATTAGAAAAATAGCATAAAACACTCGTTTTATAATGACAACCCTTATAAAACTTGTTCTTTAATATACTAATAAATAAACTTTAAAATTTGAGTCTTTCCACTGATCCGGAATTCTACCTCTCTTTTGAAAGTTTTACGTCACTATCTTCCTCTTACTCTGACAACATACAGTGACAAGGAAAAACAAGGATAGACATATTGAGTAGGTAACGAAAACCCTCGATTTTCACAACAAAACAGGCACGAGCGTTCGGTTTGAGGGTGATTATGAAGATTTACAAGGGGTACGGTTTAGGGCTTAGCGGTAACAGTTACGTGAACGGATAATAATATCTTGTTGACAAATTTGTACTACCGAAGTTTGTATGCTATTTTATTCAGAATCACATCATTTTTAGTCAATTTGAATAAAATTCTAACAAAGTTAAAGTCCAAACGTCCAAACTGCGTTTGATTTTTGACATTTCAGAAAATATTAAAATTATGTTTGAATCTGAGATTAAAATTGTTAAAATGGAGCAGTGTACTCCCCTAGAAGTGAAAAAAACTGCTACAAAAGTAATACTAATACTAATTTAGCAAAATATTATACGTAACTAAAGTCGCGGTCAATTCATAGTGGCCACTTCCCTGTGTAAATTTGTAAAAATTGAGTTGTGTAAATCCGACGTTAAACATCCAATTGTTTTTTTAGTGACATAGCTATCAAAAATGACAATTCTAAAAAAGTCGGGTTAGAATACTTCACATATAAAATCTATTGCCCCTGTCACAATTATTGACAATTTTTCGACCAACTTTGACAAAACCCACACAATAGAAGTGGCGGGTTAAGTGCTGCCAACTTTGAGATAAATTAAATGGCCACTATGAATTGACCGCAACTTTAGACAATTTGAAAGAAAAAATTCCGGGTATTTTTGTAATTAAGCCATTAAACGTTAAGACGTTGGCAAACCTGCATATTACCGCCCAAGGGATTAAATGATATTACTGTTCATATGTGTTTCCCAACCTTTAAAAAGTTAGTAATCGGCGTATTACATTATTAGTGATTGTGAATAAAATAATTTTGTTAGGCCACTGGTCCGCGTCCTCTCTTATATGTTTGTGTTCATTTATGCCCGTCCAGGTGTGCACTTCTAGCTTTTACCCCACTCTACGAGAAAAGTGAGAAATTATCGCAATATTTAGTTTGTTTTGCTCAATGTTGGGTTAAGAAATAAGAAAGAAAAACCACAATTTATGCAATCTATAAATGTGTATCTATTTCACTAAAACTTTATACAATTTTCAATTATGTATCGATTATTTCGGGTCATGAGGCAGCTTAAACCCAACCAAATTAGCTGTTTCTCTCACCGACCTCTCCCCTTTCCCGTGAAACTCATTATGAATTTCCTGCTGCATCCTCGAGCTCCTCAAATAGCACAAATACGTATTGGCCATAAACTCCATCTCCTCTCTCGCCTTACACAACTGCTCGCTCGTCGTTTTATACTTCCTAAACTGACTCAAAATGTACCGAAGTGCCAAACTGTCTTTAAGCGAATCATTCGGAAGCGCTTGACGCAATTCCGCGATGATCTGTCTCAAAGTATTGATTTTCGACGCCATCTCACCCTGCAATTATCACACTTTTACTCGAACGAATTCGACGTCGTCGTCGTCGTAGCTCGGCTCGGCCCCAACCTCCCAGAAATCATCCGAAAGAAGCTTAATTTTATTCCAAGGAAAAATATGAATTGCGGTATCGTTGAAAATCTCAAAAAATCGAAACGAATTAATCACAGCCAATTCGAGAACGTGTGGGAAAATATTGACGAGGTATTGGTTTTGGTTGAGGACGCGTTTGGGGCTATTTTCAATAATTGAGTTAAAACTGTTGGCTATGATAATGCAGGAGTTTAAGTTGAGGCCCCAATTGGCCCAAAGGAGGTTATTAGTGAGCTGTTTGGGGCAATGAGGCATGTAAAAAATCGTCGTGTGTTTGTCGCCAACTCGGTATTTACCCTCGGAATTCTCGGTTAAAATTTCACACTGGAATTGTCGTAATAACCAACGATCGGTTTCGGTGAACACCGGGTCGTAGATTTTGACCTCGGCGTTGTGTAAATCTTTCAAACAAAGGAGGAAACCTAACTGATACCGGGATATCATACACTCACCGATTCGACCTAAACCGAAACAAATTATTTCCTTTATATTTGGGTTTGATAGCGTTGTTAGAGCTTCTCGGAGCGAAGCAACAGCTGAGGCGAATAAGTCAGACGAATTTATCTCCGATTTGGCTTCGTGGATTCTTCTGGAAAAGTTAGGTTAGAAATGGTGTGTTTTGAGTGTGTAATACTGACTTGAGTGTGGCTTCTTTATTAGGTTGGAGTTCTATTTCGTGGGATTTTGATAAAGTTTTATATTTGGAAGATTTATTCCCACGTTTGTAGCGGATTAACTTGAAGCCTTCGGTCTGATGACAACTGTCAGTCGACATGGTTGGCAGTCTTGTTGATCTTTGACTTTTGTTGAGTATTGAGTCTTGTCAGTTGTTAGGTTGGTGACACTGAAATGGGTGATATGTAACCAAACATATTATTAAGTGAAAAAATTCCGTAAAATAGATACTAATAAGATATTTTTTATGAAGGGTAAAATATACCGGGTTTTTCACGAGAGAGTTATTTTTGAAAATTTCCTTGCCGCAACCAACAATACTCACTAACTGCTAAATTAAATATGTTATTTCTTTTATATTAGAAATCAAAGTAAGTTGGATAGATTTGCCAGAAATATCAGATTGACAGATAACATAAAATTAATCAAAATTCAACAAATAAATTAACAAGTTAAGTTAATGTATAATATATTTACTAAACTCCCGACATGTCAAAATGACGTTAAGTTAGTTAAACAAAAAGTCACTATGGCTATGTTGGTGACTACTTCACTCAAAGTTTAACAACCTGGTCGCTATCACGATTTGAAATGATTTAATTATTATCATTGGCCTATGTACCGTGTACATGGAAACTTGACATCAAGTACAGTCAGATGAAATAATAGTCATCTGTGTTGTTTGAGATACACTCAAAAATTTTGGTTTGTCATTGTAAACGTCACGGGAGTTTTGTGAATACATAATAAAAGGTGTTTGAAGTGTCTACCATCGACTTCTAAACATTCGCCTAGTCGGTTGGTAAACGATAACAAAACATGTCGCATCGTTTAAGAGATGATTTTTTGCTTTAATGTCAAAGAGACAAGACTAATAACAGCTATCGTAGATTCAATTATAATTATTTTCAAAATTTAAAATCAAGAAATTGTTGCAATATGTATAATGGGTTGCGGCAAAAAAATTCAGAAATAACCCTCTCGTGACTAATCCTGTATACATAGATAAAAAATATAAGTTTATTTTGTTAAATCTTGCAATATTTTAATTTATGATTTTATCCATTTTCCTTTGATTTGTTTATCGCAGAACACCGATCTTTTTTTAAAAAAAATTATTTTTTTTTCCAATAGTACCAAACATAAGCGGTTATCAACAAGAAGTCCGGAGTTATTATAAATAGACCGCTCCGGGTGCCAAAAATCGACCAAAATCTCGATAAAAATCAAAAAATTTTTAACTTTAAAATTGATCCCAATAATGTTTTTTACATTTCTAGTGATCTTAAAGACTCAAAAAAGTGCACAAAACGTTATTGGGTAAAGTTTGAAAACTTACGAATTGTTGTATTATGTTTGTAGCAATACGTAAAACACAACTGCTATGATTTTTTGTGACTCTTGGTAAAAAGTACTGTGAAAAAACAGTTTATCTATTTTGGCGCCAAAAAGCTGTCTTATCTGTATAATCTGTGATTTTAAGGTTATATTTTGGTGTTCAATTCAAAATCAGGACATTAATGAAAATAATTATAATAAATTTATTCCAGAACACAAAAAGTAGGTATTACTAATGTTTCTGTATAAAAACTTAAATATAATAAGAATACCGATGCAAAATATTGACATAAAAAACAAAAAACAGGTTTTGGGCCCTAATCAAAGAATTAACATATTATTTTATTGTTTTATGTTAATTTCTTTTTTTTTTATATGAATTGCTTTGAGAACTCGTTTATTTTCTGCAAATAAAAAAAATCTATTCAAGCAAAATTAATACTTTAGTTAATTTGATCATTATAAGCGATTTTTAAGTGTTTCTACTTTTAGTTAAGTTTTTTCACAATGACCACATTTGAAATGACAAAAAAAAACTTTGGCTTGAAAGATACTTTGTTTTCGCTGCAAATGATAATCTCAAAAAATAGCACACTTAGGTGTGTTGGTCCTTAAATCGAAACAAATCAGGACATAAATGTAAAACAAGACAAGACAATAAAAACCTAAATATGTCCTGGCTAAATCAAGACGGTTGGTCACCTTAATCTTAAGTGTGCAACCTGCGTTTGATCGAGCATCACTCCACTGACGTCACCATGTTAACTATCTTATTCGCTCTTCAGTGTCTTTTACTACAAGTTACGAGGCAACCTTAGTTTTCTATAAATCTTGGGTTACCTCGGTAGATTGAAATTGATCAAAAATGATACAGGATGTTCCACGAGTAATAATAATGATCCATTTTAAAGGTAATGTGAATAGTAAAATACTCCGTATTTGGTTTTAATAAATTAAACATAATATTGACCAAATCCGGCAAATTTAAATTTCGATTTTTCGAGGGCCATTTTCGCCCAAATGGAGTTAATTGGAGAATCGATAAAATTGTCGATAAGACAGCCCTTTTCGAGCACTACAAGTTCCATCAATCAGATTTTGATTTCTGTTACTCCTGCAACCGGAAAAAAATAAAAATTAATTTTCCATGGTAATTTCCTATATCTAAGCCTGCCTGGGACACCCGGTATATTATGTATTAGTTATTTTTTCTCATCAAAGTAGCAAATAAAACAGTGAAAGGATTAAGATTAATAAATACTGATTAATAAATAGATTATAGAATTAAAGTTCGCTGATAACGTATGTATCTACATTTCTAGTATATTGTGTAGGTATATTGCAACACATTAGAAAATATTAAGACAACAATCTAGAATTACATACTTTTTTAAATAGTCAACACTTTTATACTTAAATTAAGAGGTCGATCTGACAAATAACCCCGTTTGTCTAAAAAATCTTTTCCCAATTGGGAATAAAGTGACGCTATAGTCCCTCGTTTTTAACAAATAATCTGATACTTTATTTTCTTGAGAATAAAATAAATAAAAACCGATTTTTACTCTTAAAATTACTACTAAATGAACTGAATATTACGTAGGACATTATTTGACTGATTTATATTTTTTTTATTATTTGGAATCAATCTGCTGGGTAGAAAGTTTTGTACGCATCTTTGAAATGAAATAAACATAAACATCGTTAATACCCTCGGCCCCCTTCAGTCGTCTCAGCCATTACCTACATCTCGGGATTAAGATTGTTATTTGATACACAAATAACTATTTGTTGTTTTTGCTTCATACTTACATATCGTCCCCTTAGTCCAACATCTAGTTAACTTAAATTTTAGGTATTTGTAAAGTTTTTGTTGCAATACTTCAAAAACATAAAACCAAATTTTTTATTAGATTAAAAAAACATAGTTTAGTATATTACACACTGTTTGACTAATAATAATTATTCTTGATTACTTTCAAGGTGTAGTTTTTTGTGTTTCAAATTTTTAAACTGCAGTTACTCGAAACTATAAATTTCAAGTTATCTAGTTGTTGCACTAAGGCGACGACATAGTAATAGTTGATAATGTTGTTAGGGCCACACTTTATCTGGAAAAGTTGAATATTTATTTTAGCAAATATGTAAAGTTTCTTTCACCCCGAATAACATAATAACATATATTATTTTAGCTGCAAACGCCTTCACATAAATTAAAAATTTTGAATAAGAATAAATAGGTTAATAAATAAACATATTTTTTCATACCTGCCTCTGTAATGCCTAATATTACTAGTTCATAGAATACCACTTCATTTTGTAAGACTTGGTTACTTCGAAAAACAATATAAGACAATTCGATTTTTTCTATTAATTTTTGTAACATTACAAATTACAATTAAAACACCAAACTAACATTTTGCACATTTGGTAGTCATATACACGGTGTGTCAGAACTCGCAACAGAAAGAAATTTCAATGAAATCTACAAATAATCTTTGTTTCCTCTTCTAATAGTCTGTAGCAAAAAAAAAATGGAAAATTATTTTTCCAACAAAAACGTGCAAAATTTAAACCCCCATAACTTCGAAATCTTTATAGATAGAATTTTTTTAACATTTTTTCTATGTTCCTGGTATCTTACCTTATACGGCATTATTCTCCAAGGCACGAGTTCTGGCGCACCCTGTATTTGGCGTTTAAAATGAAAGAGAAAACACAATTGTTAAGAAACAGTCTAATAAGTTTTTTCTATATGAAATAATGTAGTTTATTCTTTTTATCATACATCAAAAAACGTTAGTGATTTTGCCAACAATTATGTGGTATAATATTCGTGCTTGAAAAACTCAATGGTCATTTTTGATTTCTTTATTAGTAAATTACTTCCAAAGTCCACCACGTGCAAAATAAGTTTTATTGTTTATTAATTTTTCCTTAATGGAAATCATAGATATCTGTAATTTTAATCTATAAAATATAGATTAAAAAATATAGTGCTGCTGTAAAGGGTTTAACTTTATATTATTTGGCCAATTGATCAACTACCATAAAACACAAAAAAATCATTTAGTGATATTATGTTATCAGCAAAAGCTGTAATTAAAATCATCAACGTTTTCCGGTCAACCGTAAAATTTTTCGTATAAAAACCGAATTCAAACCTCCACAAATCATCAGTTCAAGTTTTGACATCAAGATGAAGTCAATAGTGATCTTAACCGTTATCGCAGTTTTGCTGCCAGGTAAGAGAAATACTACAAATAGTTCAACATGATTGTGGAAATTACACATAATTTTAATTTTGCAGCATTGCAATCGCGATCCTTGGTACGACCATCTCCAATTAGACCTAGAGTAAAACCAGTTCCAATTCCTGAAGTCGAAAGTCCAGAAATTGAAATTAATCCAGTACCCATTATACCAGGTGTAAAACCCGTCCCACTTCCAGAAGCAGAAACACCAGAAATCGAAGTTAATCCTGTACCTATTGTACCAGGAGTCAAACCTGTCCCACTTCCAGAAGTAGAGACTCCCGAAATTGAAGTCAATCCTGTACCTATTGTACCAGGAGTCAAACCTGTGCCACTTCCAGAAGTAGAGACTCCAGAAATGGAAGTAAACCCTGTGCCAATTGTACCCGGAGTAAAACCCGTACCACTTCCTGAAGTCGAAACCCCAGAATTAGAAGTCGTCCCTGTACCAATTGTTCCTGGGGTAAAACCTGTACCACTCCCTGACGTTGATACTCCAGAAATGGAAATCAAACCAGTACCAGTTGTACCAGGCGTAAAACCCCTTCC